GTTTATGATTTTTATTTAAAATTATAATTATTGATTTTAATTTTTTTTTTATATATTTATTAAGAAAAGTATGCCATGCATATTAAAATGTATTTGAAATCATAATTAATAAATTAATCAGTATAAAAATATACATATTAATGCTTTATTGATTATTTTATTGAATAATGATAAATGTGTAAAGTAATATAATCGTTGGTGTCGTCTGCTATAACTATGTAGTTAGTGTACGATCTAATTAGTGGAGGAAAGGTTGGAATGCTGTGTATTCTGTGGGTGGGTGAATTTGTGTGTGTGTGTGTGTAAATTATTTTTGGGCTTCACCGAGACCATTAATATGTATTAATGGAAAAGCAAAACATGTGACACGGGTTGAAATTTGTCTGAAGGGACGAGCGTAACACGTGTGATCCATCATCCAGTCGGCAGAGCGAGTGAAGAGAGGATAGCTAACAGCAGGATAACGCAGCAGGTTCTAACCACGAAGTCAGAAGGAGCTGATGCTGCTGCTACTGCTGCTGCCGTAGAGTTGAAGAGACAAAGAAGATCACGACGAAAGGAATTTATTTATGGAGACACGTGTACGCATTTAAAGAAACTACAAATCAGCCTCGACTCACTAATCTCTGTTTACCTTACTTATTAAAGCTCGAATTATTAACTGCGCGACCGCGCGCGGATGGTTGCACTCACATCACATCACAAAAAAAAAGAGCAATGAAACTACAAGAACAACAACTACCCCTCCCCAGACGAGACGTAACGAGAATTTCAAATTTTCTTCACATTTCACGCTGAATTTGTATTGAATGACCATGTAAATACTCTCGACAATAGAAGAAGCAACGAGGCTGTATTGACGCAATTTTATGGTAAATTTGTTCGCTCACCGAAAGCTCACCAAAATATATATTACGTTTGTTTGTTCGTTTGCACTCGAAGAAAAGTGGACAAACAGTCTCTCGGCCACCGTGAGCCACCTGTGCGAGGTGTTAAAATTTCGATTTTTCTACCTCTTTCTTCATCCAATGTTTTACTTTATTCTTCAACTCCTCATTCAATCTGTCTCTCTTTTTGGCTGCTGGAGAGAGCGAAGCGAGGATAGTCGTCGTCGGGTTGGATGCGAGCGGAACCGGAGGGCGACATATTTCGAATAGCTGCCGTGTGGAATCGCGGCTGAATAAACATCCAACCGCAACAGAAGTAGGATAAATCTCATTCCGCACGAACAAAGTCGTTACTTCTTTTTTGTTCTGTTCATCTCTCTCTCTTTTTCTCTCATGCACACAATGAATTCACCCTCTCCCCTTTAGATCCTTTAAATTATCAATTTTCTATTAAAAGATCCGACACAATGAATCGTCACATACATACGCACAAATTACTTCCGTCTAAAATAACTTTCAAATTAGAACGAATTTATCTCGATTAATTTATTAACAGTTTAAATATTATACAAATAATCGTTGCTACAAGGAAACTTTTTCAGAATTTCAATCAGACTAGATTCGAATTGAATTCGGTATTAATTCTTTAACGCTTTAAGCATGCACTTTTATTTTTGTCGCCGCCGCTGCAATTGTTGTTGTTGCTTGTTAATTGTTTTCCCGAAAGGTGCTTGTTTTCGAAGCTTAAAACAACAGATCGTGGTTGCGCGATGTTTTTTGTTTCGTTGTTGCTTTGGTTAGTTGGTTGTTTCGTGGTAGGCGGAGATCGATTTAGATTTCGGGTTAATTGAATAATAGCATATGTATACATATATAATAATGTGTGCGAAAATGTTGTGGGAACGCGTGAAAGCGCGTGCTTTCGATGGAAATTATTATTATTCTGCCCCAGTGCGGTAGGAAATGCGGTGGAATATATGTGCGAGAGAGACCTAGAGCGAGACTACACACCTTCTGGCTATTGGCGGTTGAGTGGATGCTAATAACACATCCACAAAACATCCACCATACCAAAATGCATGCATCCGCCCCATATCATTCCCATCCTCTCTCATCTCTCATCTCGCTCTCTTGTTTACCGACGGAAATTTATATTTTAAGCAAATATCTAAAAAACACTATACACTCTGGTAAAATCACAAATTTCGCTCACACTTGCTGCTATAGTCTGAACCCGATTTAGAACACCACATCAATTAGCAGACACATAAACTTATATTGATTTTTTTTTTGCAAAATACAATACAATTCTACGTTTATTAAAATCAATTAAGACATTTAGTATATCAATTGAAAAATTAAATTAGTCTTAATATTTTCATATGAGAAATTTTGAATGAAATTAATCGAATCGTTTGTATCGCTTATGACACGACAATCAATACAAATTGCTGTTTGTTATTGCAAGGGTTATTGTGTACATTGTACGACGTCCGAAGAAGAAGAAGAAATGATTCGGATCAGCTGCGGCCGTGGCACAGACGAATGGACGTGTTCGATAAATAAATAAATCTTTTCGGTTATGATATATTTACAATGTCGTTTTTCTTTTCTTCTTCTATTTATATAATCAGGAACGAGAGAAACGTTAACGAATCAGAAAGACAAAGTAAGATGGATGGAAGAGAGCTTGATCGGTCTGCGTCATATCCAACCAATCCGACAGTTTTTCAAAAACAAAACACAAAAATTACCGCAGCTCAACAAGAGCAAGTTGAAGAAGAAGAAGAAGAAAAAGAAGGATTGGCAGGGAGAGGAGATCAACCAAAAAAAAAAAAAGATGGATATAGTGGAGTGGAGGAGGAAGGAGAAAGAAAGGAGACCCACAGTTTGTTTCTGCTATTTCCTGTATAAATACACAATCTGTCAAGAGTTCACCACAATAATCGTGTGTATATTGTTTGGCTTTTCCACGGTTTGTATATTTTCCGATTCTTTAATTGTATTCCGATACATCTCGTCTCGTCGAATCGCACTCGACGCGTGACGCCGACGATAACATATTCTGTATAAGAACTTTTCTTTTTGAAGGGCGAAGCAAACTTGTGGGATATTCGATTTGTTCGTCCTTTTGACGAGGTGTTGGATAACTGGATAAACAGTTCCATATTTTTAGTATAAATATATTTATAGCAGTAGACGATTGGCTACTTAAGGGACGAACGAACATATATATATATATGTCTTTGGCGCACATTTCGCCTCCCCTCTGTTATTCTTGCTAAACAGTTGTGAAATTGGAAAGGAAAGGAGAGAGAGAACGGAAAGTCGAAGGAAGCGAAGATCTAATGATCGAATTACCCGGTCTTCAAATGTAATGTTAGAAATATCTTCAGGAGGTCTGCACGAGGAGAGGTGATTGATGTTGACACAACGCATCTGCACTGACAGTTGAGTGGATTCACAGCGGGACAGAAGCAGCAGCAGTTTCTCCACTACTCACTCCTCCACCATCTCGTTGTCTTTTTATTTCCATCCATCCTCTTTTCATTTTTATTTCCATCCATCCGACATTTAAACAATTGGCCAATTTACGCGTATCCCGTCATTCCAAATGCATTCTAAATTTAAACTTTTTAACACCGTCAACCAGACGAGTAACAAGAGGTGCACGAGCAACAGCAGCAGCAGCGACAAGAATCATTTGCAGTGCGATCCATTTTTAGATTGATCGGCAAATATTTGGACGTTCGCCGCCTCCAAATTTATGGACTTCGCGCGTATTATTCTTGCGTCTTTACGATTTATTATTATTAATACGTCCCTGCCCAGTGATTTATCGTATTTAATCCAAGCAGTTAAGAAGCGCGAATTCCTCTTGATCCGTACATTTACACGTTACGGGGGGCTTCGAACCCGCCGGCGATGCACTTCGGACGGTCTTATCATTTTATTTGAAATATCTGAAACGAATAAAGAAGCAATGTTTGAATGTCCGACAATTAACTGGCGAACACCGGAATCCAACAATATTTAGATTAACATTTTTAAGTACTTCGAAAGTAAAATAAACCGCAGAACGCAAACGTTTCGTGCACTTTAATTCGTTTATTCAAAATACAAAGTATACATGGTTAGTTGTTTAATGATCATCAAGCGACAGAGTTCATTTACTTGCAAATTTCATTATCTGAACAATTAGTTTTAACAAACATAATTGCTAAACGTGATAATTTTATTTTATTCAAACTAAAATTTACTGTTTTAGCTTTAATTAAAAAAAAATCATTTGTTTTATTATGTTTGCTTGGATTGAGTTAAATTAGTCTCAATTGAAAGCAGTGTCTTTAAGGCATTAAGTGAGCAAGAATGTTTTTATTTGTGTTAGATATTATGTTTATTTGTCTAATGGGAGCAAAAAAAAAGAAAACACTTGAGCACTTAGACTAAATTAAACACTGCGTTAATGATTGAAACAATTTCACTTTTTCTAATTGATTAGGTTTATTTACTTAATTACATAACGCATGGTGGGCAATCGAATAACATAAATAATTGATCCGTCGCTGCGAAGAAGCGTCAATGTGAACAAAAAAAAAGTGATTGAGGTAAAGAGTGAGTGAGTAAGAGTATAGTTATAAATATGAAATGAATGAAGTGGGAAGGGGTTTTTTTATGTTTGCAGATAGACACAGACACGTTAAGAAGGGAAAGGACGTGTGTGGACAGCACAAAGGGGGATACAACATGGCGCCGCTCGGCCAATGGAAACGCGCCGTATGGACAATGACGAAGGGCAGAGCCTGCGGCCCCAATCGTCCACCACTTCACGCGACAGCCTGCATCAATATTATTCCAGGGCTCCCCTCGTCCATCCATTGTCCACTTCGCAACCCACCGCCGTCGTTGTAGCCGTGTCACGATCTCACTCCTATCCAAAGAAAAAACATATATAATAAAAACCCTCCTCGGTTAATTCACACGAAACTACTCTTCTCTCACCCTTTCGAGCACTATAAAATTCAAAATGAATCAACGCATCCTGTCGGTATCTTCCGCAAACTGTCCTCTATTCCTCGTCCTTCTCCTTAAGAACGGCGTACGGTAGTCCGAAAACCCATTCATCGTTCGGCCAAAACATCAATACAGTTTTACCATCAGGAAAGTCCTCCTTCATACGAAAGTAGGAGAAGAGCACGCATCCGAAGCAGCAGGTCACAGCCATGAACGCGTGCCACAGAGCGTGCAAATAAGGAAACCCAATCCTCCTCCAAACATCGCAAAACACCTTATCGTTGATCCAGCAAATCAGCGCCAAACTCCACACGACCCAAACAACCAATCCCAATCGCTTCACCCTAGGATTTCCGCTTGCCGCGATCTTCAAAGCCAACACTATAACCGATGGAATGCACAGGCTCATCAACGCAAACGCATTCCAAATCGGATTTACTATTGATAATCCCGTTCCGAAAACTGCGACCGCCAAACAGAAAAGTCCCAATCTCTTGCGGTTTCCTACAAGAATCTTTGGGAACATTTTCTTCGGATAAAATATCCAGAAGGCGGCGCAGTACAACCAGAGTATTCCTAGCTCATCCAAGAATTGTCCGAGTAAACTCAAAGTCGCGTGGAAATACGCTGAACTCAAGCCGATGAACATTATTGATATCCAAATACCGAAGAAACCCAACTTTTGTTTGTTTCCGCAACTCCGAAGCAATCTCATCTCCGTGGCCGGTATAGCCACGAAGAGGATGTTGCTGAAGGTGTTCACGAATTCGGCAATCATCGACGACACATTATAATTCTCCTCGCACCAATCTACAGGTGAACTTCCTCTTTCCAATAACTTCCACATTTTTATTTAACTTTCAGAATTTCATCTATTTAAAACATCCAACAACTGTGACATTTATAATAAACTACTTTAAAACATTTAATTTAAATATTTGAAGAAGTATCAATGTACATATACTCAAATAAATATATATTTTGTTATACATTTTCTCCAGTAAATATAAAGATATATTCCTTTCCGACTTATTGAACATTTAAAGCTAATGTTTCATGATTAAATTGAAGATGTAAAACTTAATACAGGCAACTTATTTAACAGGCTGTAATTTTCCAATTAGAATTTCTTGAAAATGTAAACTTACTCTAATTGATCTATATAATTATATATATGCATTGCTCCAAAATTTCAATAATATCTGAACAAATTAGATAAATTTTATAACTATCTATATTTAAATAGTTCTAAATATTATTGTTAATTACAAGAAACTCATTTATAAACTAAAACTATATTATATACATATATAATTTATATTATTTAAGGTACAATTTATTGAAATTTCAAATTTTACACTAATGGTTTGAATTTCATGTTATGAAACTCTTTATACACGTCTGCTTCTAAATCTACTATATACTTTTGATCTTGCTCTTGAGTATTGTGTGTGGTGTGCAAATTATGGTCGTGTATGGTAAAATTGAATTTTTACAGATCCAGCGAAGATCTTCTGGTGTTAATTAGAAAAAAGATGAAAGTTTTTGGAATAATTAACACGGTAATGGTAATAATTCTAACGCCATTAATCACTGATAATAGATAATAACCAAAGGCTTCAGTAATGGAATTGTAAGTGATTGCAGTTAACATTTACTAGTATTTTATCATTTGTGGAAATCTCTAGTGAGAGCCAAGCTGAGTCTGCAGATCAGCCTGATGCTGGAGCACCAGAAGGCAGAGATAAGATGGGCGATGATAATCCTCAACCACCAAGTCCAAATGCATTGAAAGTGGCAGCGACTGAGTGCTTGAACAGTTGGATTTCCTATTTACAGGTTAATATTATGATAAGAGTATATAGTGTAGATTATAAAGAGTTTGTTATAGATTCTGAATAGCTTGTGTTCTGCTGGGTTGAGGCTGTCTCAATCATTGAATAATTTATCGCAGGCCCAAAATATTCAACTGGCAAATCAGAATGTCATTGCTTGGGATGAGTTGACTAAATCCACTGTGGTTGCTAGTCACACTGTCAAGACCCATATAGCTGCAGCTATGCAGGATCTGTGCATCGGAGAGACATTCACTGATATTGATGCACAGAGGCAGCAGGAGCACAACCAGCAGATTATTACAGAAAACTTGCTGACATTTATTAATCTGCAGTATCAGTTTTCTATTGCAGGCTGTGAATGTCTTGGAGCTATGGCTATGTGTCCTTCTTGCCAGACAATGGCTGGAGGTTTGCATGACCCAGAGTGCAGCATGGCCAATTTGCAGCAGTGTTTTGCACGACTCTACACGCAAGACTCCCGATCGCAAATGTCCAGTCCTCATTTGTTGGATAGAGGATCCTTGGATAGTCCAAAGGGAAGTGAAGTGCGAGGCCCTTCGCCTTTCAACGAAGCTCGAGGGCCGAGTCCAATACATAACTTCCCGGGTTTCATTGAGACTATCCGTGGGCCTCTACCCAATCCTGGACAGTTGATGAGCATGAAGTCACCTTTTCCTGGACGAGGATCCAGATCTCCTCTGCACTTTCCGCTGTTTCCTCTGAGCGGTCAGAGAAGATGGTCGGAGGCTGCGGCCGGAGAAGCGGTATCTGGAGAAGGAGGTGACGGAGCTATGAGGAGGTGGTCCATGCCATGGGATTGCGGAAGGTACGAAACGCCTTGGCATCACCGATATTTACCTTCGAGACTGACTGTTCCGAGTGGAGTTCCACAGGAAAGAAGTCGGAGTACCACACCAGGTCTGTATCAATTCAATTTGATGATTCATATTCCTATTTTTGATGATTCATTGTAGAAAATATACCACAAGTTGGTACAATTACGAGCGGCGAAGGATTATCAGAAGCTATACAGCTTCTTTCATGCAGGCCCATGAAATGCGTTGCAATGCCTCAGAGTAGTGGTATTTCTTCATGGGGAGCTGAAGCCCACGACGAGAGGATTATGAAAAAATATCCAGGAGCATTGCAAAGGTAACTCGTACATTTAATGTGTCTTTAAAAAAATAAAATAAACTTTCAGAGGGTGCTGGCAATCCTTCGATGCACCTCAGAGCAGCGGTATGTCCGTAACAGAACATTACGACATCTTTCCTCCTGGCCTTCCACTCACTTCACGCAAAAGCAGTTCTTCCACTGATTCCTCATCTTGCCTATCAATACACAGCAGATCCACCACCGGATCATCGGAAAAAGAAGGTGGAGGGGTAGGATTCGTTAAGTATAAAATGTAAAAGAACATTGGTTCATAACCGTTTTGCAGGATGCTTTGAGACTGCATACCAATCTATACTCGATGTGGAGTGGCAACGAGCATCTACCTTTTATAAGACTGCCTGAATCGCAGGAGCCGCAGGACGACAGCGACACCGAAGACACCCCTACCGATGCTAAACTGTTTCCTAAACCAATTTGATTGGAACTCGTTGCCTGCTACCATATACTTAGCTTTAATAACGATAATCGGGTCCAAGCGATTTATTGGAATAGTTACAAACATTAGCAATATACGCAAACCAACTGCCAAAAAAAGAAAGAAGTAAAGAATAAACGGGACGAAAAGAAGAAGCACCGTCGAATTGTTTTACAATCATTTGTTGTTATTGTTGTTGTTGTAATTTTACCTACATAGTACGTATATATACAGGTTCAGTTAGGTACGAGAAAAACGTTACGGACGTACGAGTCTATCATACTTTTATATATTATACAAGAAATTATACAAAATACAATTAGTTATGTTTAAAATACATAAATATCGAACTCTTCGCTATATTATATGAAGATTTACTAAAACTTTTACGAATAAACTTTTTTTTTTCCTCGAGAATTCAATATTTGTTTGTTTGTGATTCACATCTACGCAGGATTTTGCATCATCGTAACAATATTTACATGGATTGAATATTGCAGAGATTCGTTTTGCGAAGAGTCAAAAAGAGATTCTTATCTCTTTTTATATAATTCAAATGGAAATGTATTAGTTTGCAACGCATCGTAGATAAGTTCATCGTGAATGAACTTTCCGAGCAGCTCTTAATTTGTATACGGTTAAATTAAACGTCGTCCTCTAAATCGTAGTCATCTTCCCCGTAATCCTTCTCGTTGTCACTCAAAGAATCCAGATCGTCGGAGTCGATTTCCTCTTTTCGAGAACACTGAATGCATCTGCAATAAATACACAATTAATATCACATTTCTCTACGTTTATTATTTATGTTATACGATTACCTGCTATCGTTAATTCCGTAATTGATGCAATACTCTCCGATGCACTCGCAGCATCCATCGTGAAACCATCTCATACTCGATGCTCCCATCGATTGGCAACTGGCTTTGCACTTTTCCCAGCTCATGCACTTGGCCATGTAAGCTACAGTGCAATTATGCGTTGTTATGTTAGGTTTAAGAGGCGCTACCTCTTGTTCCGCGCTCTCTGCAAAACATAAATTTTAATTACCAATTAAATCTTAATAATATTAATTAACTAATACATTTTTCGAGCTCAAATAGTACAGTTATGTTACAGTGTAATCTGAAAATATAGATGAAAAATCTATAAATAATCAAAGTTCGGAAACTCTCTAGGAAGTAAACAACGTTTCTGGGAATCAATACAATGCCTATAAATAATTCTAATATCAAAATGTTCGAAACGAATTGCTTGAATTAATGAGATAACTAATTAAATAGAGAATATTGAAATAACAACGAATATCTAAATATAAGCTTTGATACTTTTTTTGTTGTTGTCGAAATATTGAGAATGCAGTGCCGTTAGTTTTTCTCAAATTTGTCTGTGAATCGCAGGTGCAGAAAATAAAAACATTTTTTTAGATTTCTCAAATGTTAATAAGTTAATGAATATCAGAATATGAGTCAAGAATTAGAAATGAAGTACGTGTAGAATAACGCAAGGTTATTAGAGATTCATTGTGAATTGTTATTGATTAGCATTCGACAATTTCTCCGTATTTCTGAGATGAGATTATGCAAATCAAATCTACTTTCATAGCTAATGAAATAAAAATTTGTAAATATAAAATGTTACTAATTTCTTTATTTTTTATTGAATTTGCTAATTCATTTGATGTAATTAATACTAAGAATTGATATAGTTATAGTTTTATGTGTATGCATCAAATCCTTGAAAATATTTCAGTTGTTGAAGTATTTTTGGAATATGTATACGCAATTGAGAAGAGAGATAGAAATGTATCATAGCTATTAGTGTTTTCGCAAAGTGCAGTTAATTACATTTCGCACTTGCATTTGCATGTTTTTCTTGAATTCGGTTCAATCGTTGGAACGTATGCACGGTGCAGTTTGTGTATTTTCAATTAGCAGAATGCTTGTTTACGTTTGCGCTTCGCTCGGTATTTGCATTGATGCATGCAGTAAAGGAAGTAAGGATGTTTAATATTTGTTATGGTACTTACGCAGTTGATATTTGATGTCATTTTTAGGTGGATGAAGGATGTTGACGTCCACCGGGTAGACGAAGCGGGTCCAGCGTTTCTGGATGTCGTCGGTTTCGGTGAGGGCGCGGAAGAGATCGAGCACCTCGACCTGGAAGTCCTCTATCTGGGATTGCTTGTTGAGCGGGCTTTGCGTGTCGTTCGGTTTGGGACACATGCCTGAGTGCATTTAAATTATATTACATAAAGGATGGATGATGATGATGATGGGGACTCAATTGGTTGAAACCTACCTACACACGAGCAGCACTCATTGTACAAATAACTGAGGCAGTAGGAGCACTCCTGACAGCAGCTGCATCCATTGGCAAAATCGCACTTGCAGGATTCAGTCAGAAGGCATTTGGTCACTATGGACCCGCACACGGCCTCATTGCAGGCCTGCACCTGCAGACCGGCAAGGACACCCAGCAGGACAAGAAGAAGCAGCGGAGACTGCATCTCCGTCTACAATTGTGGTGCGGCGAGTTGTTTTCTCTCGGTTTTAGCCTGCGGGCGAATTCGAAATGTCCCTGAGCCGACGACGACGCACTCTCGAACTCCTCTCAAAAAAAAAGGGGGTATTTTTTTTTGTATTTGTTTGCTTGATATTCCTTCTTGCTGTGCGGAGGGAAACACTCACGGTATGGTAGACGGACGACGCGCCCGATCCTTGCAGAAGCGGAGCACCGATAGCACTCTTTTCCAGTTTCAGACCAAAATGCTGTATTAGTTTTTGGATGGAACTTCGCAGCTCCAAGCGAACATCGTGTGCGCGCCTTCTTCGCCTCTAGAAACTTGTTTTGCTACTGATTGCGTTTCCCCACTTCGCAGCCGTTGCTTCTACAAAACTCACTCAGCAGCAGCGGCAAGTTTGAAGCATACAAATAAAGGAATGTCGCCGCAGAGAAAGAGCGACTAATAACTCGGCTCGACTCGAACGGTCATCATTAGGGTGGATCTTTTTATCTTTCGATAGGATTTTCATTACCGATCCTCCCTTTTCCATTTGATCTTTCCTCTATCATTCTTCAAGAACAGACGTCATTGTTAGCGACGTCGGTGGCGGCGATGCAAGGTGCATTTTGCAATTATTCGGCTACGTGTCCGGCATAAAGTGCATTTATGTAGAAGCGAAATTCTCAGGTAGAGAGGATTGAGGTTGTCAGAGAGAAAGAGAGCGAGGCGCCCCTATTCTAATTGAACAATAATGCTGTTGATATTTCTACCTGTTCTCGTGTTTGAAATGTCTGGAATGCGGCCACCTACGTCGACTTGAGTAGCCATACTTAACATATAAATCAATGAAACCAAACTAAAATCATTTTCATACCAAGTACATTAACATTCCACAAAGATATATATTTCATAACAATATTGAGTTAATTTATAAATTTGTTATTAAAATAAAATACATATTTTTAAATGCTATTATTGAAAATACGTCAATTACTGTTAAATGATTTACAATCAATTTTTTCATATGTAAATTTAACAAAATTTTATAAGCTTATTTGAATAAAATGTAAAGCAACAATAATTAATCATTAAATGATGAACAGCGCCACCACATAAATGTGGAATGCGCCCCAACTACAGTAGCCCAAATCTAGGCAAATTCAATTAGTTACCTATTTATTGTTTCATCATTAATAGATTGATCAATTCATTTAAAAAATAATTTGACAAAACAGAGATTTTTTTTTAGTAGAATCTTGGGTCTAAAGTCAGTAAATAAATACCATAATTATTCCTCGCTCTCGCTGAATACTAATTTCGAATGACTCGAAAACAAAAAAAAACCAATAAAAAGTGATATTACAATACGTGCAAAGTGCACTCAAATAAATTTGCATTTCCGCGCTATGTAATTGCATGCAATTACAATAAGAGAAAATAAATTGTTGTTTTACTAGAAATTCGGTTGTAGGAAATCATAGAAAGTAAGACTTTTATTTTCTTTTGTATATTAGTTATTTGTTTTTTTTTTTAATGAGGAAACATAATACACGTAGAATTTATAAACAACATAATATATTTATACTATAATACACGTCGAGGGGATGAGACGAGTTTCGATTTCTTAGACGGCTGCTTTCGATGACGCAGCGTTCTCGGTTTTCGGTGAATCACCCGCATCCTTTCCGACAGTCTCTTCGAATTCCGCAGGCTCGATGAGTCTCTTCCTCCCGTGCGGAGGTGGACCAATTAATCGCTCCACATCGTCATAATTCAACGTTTCCTTCTTCAGCAATTCCTCTGCCAACTACATACAGATAAACATTACATTTTTTTTTTATAAATTAAATTATTCTGAAGCAATTATTATATATTGTAATCTTACCAGTTCCAGCTTATCTTTGTGTTCGGTTAAAACCTGCTCCGTTTTCTTGTAAGCATTTGTGATGAGTTTTCTGGCTTCCTCGTCGATCATCGTGGACAAGCGTTTACTGTAGGGTCTCCTACCCATCTCCTTGGTTTCCTCTTCGGGAAACGAAATCAACCCTACCCTACTGTTCATACCGTACTCTTTCACCTGAGCGTACGCGCTCTTCGTTACTTTATCCAAATCGTTTTGGGCTCCAGTTGTGATTCTGTTGAACGTCAAAGATTCCGCGACTCTTCCACCCAAAGCCATGCACATCCTCTCGAACAGTTCTTCTTTCGTGTGCAGTTTCTGGTCCCTGGGGATGTACTGAGCGAAACCTAAAGCCAAATTAGTTCGAGGCACTATTGTTACTTTCAACAGAGCGTCCGTATGTTCCAGCATCCATCCGACCAAGGCATGGCCGGATTCGTGGTAGGCTACTACACGTTTGTCCAATGGAGACAAGGCGTGATTCCTTTTTTCGGTACCACCTATATAACCAGAAATAAAATATAATTCGTTACAAATCATTTCGTTTTTTAATTCGTGATTTTAAACTTAAATGCATATGCAAAGTAAAACAGGATTTGAAAAGTGCAATGTCGTGCAGTTTATGGTCTGTTAATTGCATTAATACTACTTTCGTGCTTTTAATTATTGAATATGAATAAGCCACGAGTGTGTATTTTAAATGAGTACTTTCTTATTGTAAGACAATACGAAAACAGGTAAAAATTCAAGAAATTCAATCTGCAACCCATCAAAGGATGAAGGAAGTAAAGTTTTAATTACCGACTAATCTTTCCACAGCGTAATCCAAGTTGCTCTTATTGACTTGAGTCTGCTTAAACCTGGCTGCATGCAAGGCCGACTCGTTGCAGACATTAGCAATATCCGCACCACTGAATCCGGGCGTCAGATAGGCTAAATTATGCGAATAATGGCTAGGTCCGTACTCCAGTGCAATACCCTTAAGATGCTGCTCAAAGATCTGCTTGCGTTCAATCAGATTGGGCAGATCAATCAATATATGCCTATCGAATCTGCCCGGTCTCAGCAAAGCCCTATCCAAGATATCCGCCCGATTAGTCGAGGCTAACATTATGATGTTCTCCTTGGAAGCCATGCCGTCCATTTCTACCAACAACTGATTCAGGGTTTGCTCACTTTCGCCGCTGGCTCCGGTCGGACCTCCCGATTCACCGCTCCTTTTTCTACCCACGGCATCGATCTCATCGATGTAGATGATGCAAGGTGCACGTTTTCTAGCTTCTTTAAACAGATCTCTCACTCTCGCAGCACCCAATCCACCGATCATCTCGATGAATTCGGATCCTGCCATAGAGAGGAAAGGCACGTTGGCTTCAGTAGCAATAGCTTTGGCGAGCAAGGTTTTTCCGCAACCTGGAGGACCTAGTAGCAAAGCACCTTTCGGAACTTTCGCACCTAAAGCTTTGTAGTGTTCTGGTCTCTTGAGGTAATCTACGAATTCCATTACTTCTTGTTTGGCCTCGCTAAGTCCAGCGACGTCCGAAAACTTGACTCCTTTTCCAGGACCGGTCAGAGGATCAACCAATGTGAACTTGGCTCTACCCATTTGCGTCTATGATAAACATTTTATAATCATAGATTGTATAATAAAACAAAACATGGTAACTTACAAAGCTGTCCATGCTCAAAGGCGGTCTTATACTCCGACTCCTAGCCAAAATCGAAGCTAGCAATCCGACTATGATCAATGATATTAATAGTTTCCCCGCCGTATCACCTCCTCTTTCGTAAACCACCGGCACTCCATCTCTTATACCTAATCTCCTTTCAGCCTCGCGTAATTTATCCTCGAACTTGTGTATATCGCCTACATTCATGTGGAAAGTTTTGTGCTCAATCTAAAGCAAATGCAATGTTATTCATATAATACATCATTTGATCAAGACAGCATACCTTTTTTCCTTTAATTATTGCTCCATCATATAAGATAATTGTCACGACTTCCACATCAGGTCTTACAATAATCTCTTCAACTTCACCTTTTGCTAGCATTTGATACAAGAATTCATTCCAAGAAACATACCTAACAACCTAAATATACAAAATTCAAATATATGCACTCTATTAAATCTATAGACTAATATACTGACTTCAGGTTGATTGCTGCTGGGAAATATGAGTGAAAGAGTGACAATAACCATATAAGCAGACAGAAACCAAAGGAAAGCCTTAGCAGCCAAAGAGAACAAGTTATTTTCATCATCATCATTCTTATTTTTCTTAGGATCCTTTTCTGGTCCTTGCGAAGGACTCTGATTACATCTGGCACTAGTGTGAAAACCCCTAGCAGCTGCTAAATGATTTACCAAACAATTGACATCCTTCAACCCAGATCTCCTCAATAAAGAGAAGACTGCTTTGTACTCATTATTGATAGCAGTTATCACCTACAATATAACAATTAGGTTAATTTAAAATTGAATCTCCCCCAATATTTACCTTTCTGTTAAAGTTAATTTGATGTGATCTGCAGTGCTGCTGATGCAATCCTTGCTGATTTCTGTATGAGACATTCTGCAAAGTTCTGGCATTATTCAGGATGTACTTTACCGGCCATCGTATGCTTTTCAACAATCGAAACATCGTATGCCTTTAGAATAATAATAAAAGTGTTATATATTTTTAAACATAGTTTGGATTTATAGGTTATCAAATTTGACGTTTGACCCATAGGCAACCGATAGCATCTTCTAAGTATAATGTGTTGCCTAATACTTGGGAAAGCTTCATCTACCGGAATGCGTCAGTTACTAAATCATCGTGAACTTTCAAATTTAAATTATTTGTTTATAATTAACGTATATTCAATAAATATGCTTGAAATTAATTAATTATATAACTATATAGCTTTTTTATTACAAGTTATGGATAATAGAGTGGTATTGAAATATATTTCTGAGAATATTGCTTTAAATAATTTACAGTAAGAAGTTCGGACGTGGTTGATCGCTGAATGGGAAAGAAGGTCTGTAGGGAACGAAGTTCCACCTCGTAATTACTTATTCGGTGTTGCGTATTGTTAACACGTCTTGTTGTTGTTATCCAATCTGGCGCATCTAAGAATGTTGTTTGTTAATATTGTTATCACGTCTGTCGCCTAGAGATTCGTGCCAGAAAAGGGAACGAAAGAGGAGGCGCGAGAGTACAGTTGTAAATTAGCACTTCTTAGACCGTTAGCCGTTCGTTCCTTTTGGTCTCGGCGATCCTCGTTATCCAAGACGATCGCCAGTGACGTCAGAGCGGAGCTGCTGGTAGGCAGAGGAAGAAGTAGGGAGCAATGTGTATGTATGTGAGAGAGAGAGACACGTGGAGCGAAAGAATGAGAGAAAGAGAGATCTCTCACCTGTCCGCCGCGAGAATACAAATGTTATTCAGAAGAGACCGAACTTTCGTTTCGCAGAGTGGTGAACGCACGCAAACGCAACGATACAACGACGAGTTTCCCAGATGGGACTTGCAGGGAACAGGACTTGAGAGACTCTCCCGACAAACAAACACACGATAATAAATGTGCCAGAAATGTTCTTCAGGAAGTGCGCGAAATGTCCTGCCGGTGACCAGTTCTCTTGTGCTTCTGTTGTGCTCTTCTTAGTTCTTATTGGATTTTTACACACTTCATCAGCGCAAGGTAAAACAAAAAAAAAATAAAAATAAAACAACAACGAGAACGGACAATTTCGGAAAGGGGAAAAGTATAATATAAAAAAAAACCTTGAAAACCATATGACCTCGATGTCTTTGCCGCTAAAGTTGCAACAGCTTTTTTTTGTTGTTGTTGTTATCCAGAGGAAAGTTCGGAATTGAAGACCGAGAGACAAAAAAATAATACAAAATAAAACGTAAATTGATTTTTAATTTAACGAAAGTGAGCGCGCGCTCGTAAACCAGTTTTCGTAAATATTTTTGAGGATCGAGCCGGAGGATTCCCGCAACAACTAAAGACAACAAGTAGAAAACTGTTGCTTCATTTAATGTTTTCTTAATAGCCTTAATTTCACTTAATTGCTTCAAAATCTATTATCAATCATTCATTGTTAATCTCAGTTCGCAAGGAACAATCCAATCTCCTACATTAATTACTAATATGCATGCCAATTACAAAACGAAAAGAATGAAATGTAAAGTCATAATATACAAGGATTATGCTATTCTATTTTTTTTGTATTTAATTACACCATTTCATGAGACAAAACACGTCTTACTGCTGCAGCTACCTTGACTGGAATTATAAATGTTAATTTCCTTATTAAAGCAGTTTTATATAACAATCTCCAGTATTCAATATTCGCTATGAAAATCAAACAATCTTGAATAATCAAAAAAATTAAATGAAATTATTCGTTTTTACAATTTCATGTTTCTATGTGGTAAATTCAACAATTCGCAAAACGATTTTAAAAGGTGATCCAATATGAAATTCAGTTTACCTTTGAGTGTAAGCAGTTAAGGTCACGTGAATCATTACAGAAATCAGGAAGGAAATCTTAAGAGTACTTTCGAATTAATAATTTCAAGTAAAGATAATTTTAAAATATTGATAATGTAAAGAGTGTTAAGAACGTATTCAAATTAATATGTAATGAATTTAATTGCAGAAAACATTAAAAAGTAATTTACCTTTTTTTGGGTAAAAACTATATTATAAGTTTGAGTATATACTTTTAATATACACGTATATATTTATATCGTTCAGTTATTTATTGGTAAGAACAAGGTGTGGTGACCAATAAGTATGACAGACGAGGTCACGGTTACTATTTATGCTGTCTTTTCGAAAAGAGCTCTCCGCACTGCGCGTATTGTTATTCCATAACGTCGGCGTGTTGGATGTCGTGGGCGTAATAAAAGCACATGCACACACGACGACGAAATGTCATTACAAGCCATGTACACTGGAATTACATCCATAACACCTAACTGTAACTCGCCTTCGATTAGGAATATCAAATGCAAACCCACCTACCACGATTGAAAACCAATACAATACAAATTCAATGCTCGACAAGATGAATCACACAATCCCATCATTTTTAACAGCTTTCTTTATATGTTTACGAGAGAATCGAAGAGCCAGCAAAGAAACAAAAACAAAACAATTGAATTGACAATAAGCAAAATCTTTGATTCGAATTTAGTACAAATAACATTAAGAAAGTTAAAAATATTAATAAAGAAGCGAATGAAAGTAATCAAATTGGAAATGCAAGAAAGGAGCGTTTAATTAGTTAACATTAGCCAATTCATCGTTACGAACAGCAATAAATAAATATGTGTAGCACTTGCATTGAATATTAATACATTATTTACATAGCATTGGCTGTGAATAACTTAAAAAAATTGCAATACGAAAAGGAACTTTCGAATTATTGCCTCGTCGAATTGGATAAATTTTTGAAAGTGAACTTTTACATTCGGAATCCAATAACGCTGCACACAGATTATATAACAATTAGAAGAGGTGAATGAAGAAGTAGAATGAAAAAAAAGTATATATAAAAATAAAATAATTAGTCATGATGTGTGTGTGTGTATATGGCGAAGAGAATGAATTATCAAAGCGAAAAGGCCACTCGAAAGTGTACGTAATATGAATTTATTCGCATTTTGCATGCAGAAACAAATCGCCTCTAGCAGTTTGCGTTTCTCATTTTCTTGTTATTATTATATATTTTTTTTTACATTTGTCTAATTGAAAGTACTTGTATTTTCTTAATTAAATTAAAATTGAAATTATTAATTAAATTAAAGTAAAATTTCTCAAGAAACGATAAAAAGACTTTAAATTGTTGTCGAGGAAATAGAAAGTGTAATAAATTTGATTTAGTTTTAGTGCGAGCAGAAAATATAATTTTATTGTTTCCGTCGTTTGCCAAATAAACTTTCAGTTATTTTCTTTCTTTGTTAAAACCATAAGTATATAAAATATAAACAAAGAGAGAAAAAAAAGCTATAAATATTCATAGTTATAAACTTGTTGGACGAGATGCAAATTAAGCGAAACGTCAGTAATTGGAACAATGAGTTTAAAAAAAAAAAGAAATAGTTGTATTTGTTTCACTTTTACTTTGTTTTTTTTTTCCAACGCTCGACTGGATGTCGAAACGTGCAATTATCCTTAATTACGGATTTAAATCTAATTAGGAGTCGCGCGTTGCGTTTGTTTTGTGGGCGCGAGTAAGTGTGTGTGGACGACATCTGCAGCCGGAGAAAAACCTTATTTATATGGATCTACTTTGCTCCGATTGTATAAATTATCAAGAGATCAATTTCCAATCGGCAATATGGTCATATTATATGGCTTTTCTTCTGCTCCAGATTTCCAATCCACTCTGAAATTTTACGCTCGTTCGAGCGTCAACAACACAAACAACACCGTTTGTCAGCTCTGATCTTATTATTTTTTCATTATTGTTATTACTAGAAAACCGCACATTGTTGTCGACGACAATAACAGGCAGCTTCGGTCGAGAAGAGAATGCAAACGCTGAAGAACTTCCGTAGTATTCATGTCTATACAAACAACAGTTGAAGGATGATTAGTTTCTGAATACGAAATCATCTGATAAATGTCATGTTGTTAGTTGCTATGGTAACTTCTTATAAACAACTAGATGATAATTGCAATTAATTGAAAATTACCATAGAAACAAATAATAAATAACTTAGACCATGCGTTTGTTACATAATGCAAGAGTTCTACATTTGACAGATTGATTTAAGAGACTACTAGATGATACTTGAAATAAATTGAAAATTACCATAGAAACAAATAATAAATAACTTAGATCATGCGTTTGTTTTGATTTCAGAAATTAGATGACACTTGAAAACAATTGAAAATTACTATAGAAACGAATAAAAACGTGTTAGCTTATATAAAGAAAATGTTTATAAAATAAAGCAAGTAAGAGTTTTCAATGCAAATTTTCGCTCATCGAAAGTTCAAATAATTATAGAAAGGAAAAGTTTCTCTCTAGCGCGTTACATTTTCTGCACCAGTTTGTTTTTATTTATATATATATTTTTTTTGTATTCTTTTTCCTCGTCTTCTGTTTCTTTTTGAAACGTTCTCGTCTCGCCGTGCATTGAAATGCAAGAAGCGGTGGTCTCGTACTGTTATAGAATATGTGAGCGCAATGGGAAACTAAGCAAATAGCCTTAACGGGAATACGAATGGCTTGGAATTATAAATTACGAATTTCGTTTTATTTGGGCCAAATAATCGATCGATCGAGGAGAAAATGATCAAAGACCGCAGACTTTCTTCTGATCGCATACGAAAAACAAAGAGCCAGGCCTACGCGACTTAATTGATATCAATCTGTCGGGATGAATGGGTCTATTAAGTTAAAATATGAAAGTTTACTGGGAATGCGTTTTAGGCCGTAGAAACTCAGCAACATATTTCTTTTTATATATATATATGATATACTCTTTTTTCTCTCTTTTTACACACATATTATTGCGAAGCCAATTTTAAGCTCGTTACACGTTGAGAGAATTGCTGTGGGAAATCGCGTCTCCGAGGAAAATCCATGAGAAGAAGTTTTCCATTGAGTAACTGCTGTTATATCATCGGCTTTCTACAAATGCAAAGCGCATTCCCTTTTCGGGAAATATCACCTCCGCGCCGCATTCAAATCAATCCAAGCGCTAGACTCTTCGTGTACTTTTTTTTAGTATCTTCACGTCGGAGAAAGTTAACCTTTCACCGTGCCTCAACATAATAATATTACTAATGGTGATGTTCTTCAAAATGCATATTCTGATGATGCTGCGTCGCGTGCCGTAAAAGTTATCGCCGAAGACGATCATTCTGGTCAACCTTGACATTTCGTTGATCATCACCAAAATAAATAGCCAATGTGGACCCAATGTCTTTTCGATTCCCTCTCAATTTGACATTAATAGCACACTTGATTCGAACATATTTATGTACGTTCAGTTTTTAAAAGATACAAAGCTAAAAATTATACATTTCATTACCATTGTTCTTCATTAATACACATCTAATAAGTATTTATTTCATGAGAAGTTTTTAAACAATCATGTACATTTAATTATCTTTTAATCTATATTAACTTATGAAACATTTGCAACTTATTCTTAAACATTTTTGGAATACAGAAATTACACATTAATTAAGTTTTGGCAATCTGTATTTTTATTGTAATTTTGAAATGAGGAAATTTTGTAAATCAAAATTCGATTTTATGTGTAAATCTTCGCTGCTATTTCTTGTGAGAATATGAAATAAACAGGATATTGGCTATGGGGGGGAATTAGAAATTCGGCGGTCGTCTCTTGCACAGTTTCCTGCCTTGGTTCTATTATTTTTTTTCGTTGTTGTCCCTCGTACAATCTTCATAGAAATGGGTCAGCTTTCTAGTTTTGTTCCTCGCCAAAGTCTGTCACACTCGAAACGAACATAATGTAATGATAATATTCATACAAAGCGTACGCAATTACGTAACGTGTTTAAACTACAGCAGAAACGCAAATGGCAACATTTAAAGATGAGGTTTTGGTATGAAGATTCGGAAATGGCTTTCCAATTTGGAGCGGACTTGCACTTTCTATTTGTAATTACGCATTGATTGAGCTTTCGTTCATTACTTCGTTGAATAACTCTCGCTTTTCCAATTGATAGAAAATTTATGCGTACGTTTCAGAGGTAAAATGCGGCCATCCAGCTGTCCCCGTCAACGCCCAGGTGGGTCTCAGCTCTCCCGATTTGAAGGCAGGAACCACGGCTCTGTACACCTGCGACGATGGGTACGAAACGTTCGGTAACACCATCTTGACATGCACAGCCCAGGGGAAATGGTCTGGTGAACTTCCGTTCTGCGGTAAGTTCGATGCTTCTTTTATTTAATTTAACACATGTTCTGTTTCATCAATGAGATTATCATCATTCCGTAGGAACGAATATCGCGTATAGAAAACCGGCGAATCAGTCGACCACTGTGAGGGGTGGTGTTGCTCTGAACGCTAACGATGGGGAGAAGAGCAACGAACACGATGGAAAGAGGTGTTCTGAGACACAGAAGGAGGTAAGTCCTTGGTGGCACGTGGACCTACTGCGGCCCTACCCTGTTAAGGTTGTCAGGGTTACGACGCGTGGATGCTGTGGTCATCAGCCGCTGCAGGATCTCGAGATCCGCGTTGGTAACAGCAGCTCAGATCTTCAGAGGAATCCACTTTGCGCTTGGTTTCCAGGAACCATTGGTAAGCATGTATTTTTTTACTTTTAACATCTTTAAAATTACGTAATTCGGAAAAGTTTCTAATTAATTTACTACACTCTTCGTATATATTTTGCTTAATTCAGAAGCTCCAGCTGTCGCTTTAAATCTCCATTTTAACGAGAATCAATTAGCGTGACAATAAACGTAATTAGTTTCGTGCTGACAAACAAATCAACTTGAATTACTCAAAACTCCGATAGTTTAAATTAAACTTGACGATTATTGAAATTAATTTTCCGTTAGTGGAATACGGAACAATGCGAAACGGATGCATTAGAATGCAAATTGCGGCTGAATGTCGGATGGAATAAGAGTTACGTAAACATCAATTAAATCTCGTCTTGTCCACTTAACAGTACACATTTGAGCGGAGGCGCCGACATCAGCAAATCGAATTTCGACCCAATTTTGTTGGATTTCGTAAAACGAAACCAACATAATAGAGAGAAAAGAACAACCAGAATTTATTTTTATTCATTCCATGCTAATTCCGACGCCGTTATTTCCTCCCGTAACACACTTTACTTTTGCTACAAGAAAAATACTGTTCTCTAGTTTCAACCAGTTTTTTTTTTCAAATGTGATTTGAGGACAAAAGTTGTTGTTTTCCAGTGTCAATTATTTGACCATGTTCTAAAACCAAACCGTGCACAAAAAAAAGCAACAATTCGCAATGAAATAAAATAATGCAATTATATCGTTTTGCGAAACGGATTTAATATGTGAATTAATGGGCATTAAATTAAATTTGACGAAAAACAGCACTGAAGAAATACAGAAAGAATCAAATTGGATGAACTTGACCTCGCCCACACTAAATGTACGCATAAGCAAACGCAAATAATTACAATAATGATCCTGAGAACACGAATTCATTCTTTTTTTTTGCTTCGCTTCGTTTCGTTGATATGGTAATTAATCTGTGATTGCGTCAAGCGAGGCTTTCACATTGTTGTATTACGTTTGTAAGTTTTTTGTTGTTTTTATGCGTGTGTGTGATCGATGCAGTGTGGAAAATCCGCCTCTTGTTGTGCAAAATCGATGATTTCTAAAATCGAACTGGGTTAAAAGATATGCAAATCTCCGATAGGATTTCCTATTTTCTACTCTTGATATTATATTTGCATTGCTGGTAATTGCTTCTTCAATAATGGAAATAAGAACGAACAGAAATAATTGAATTATGGATGCGGAATTACGTTCGGAATTCGGAACGAACGGTGTTCATTCCTTGCATTATTTTGTTTGGAATGATTTGCATGTTCGACTTTTTGAAAGTCGCTGTTTTCAAGGCGGTTTTTACGGTTCGGAAACGATCGCTTATGCAACGCACAATAATTGCCAATTGGAAATAGAGTGGAAAAATGTAACGTCTTTAAAGACATGTCTCCTCGACGAGAGGGGAGTTTCTGATATTCCTCAATGACAAGGAAAACGCTTTAAACTTTCTTCAGTTACAAAATCTCCAGTAATATTTATTTATAACTCATTGGAATAAAACCAATGTAGAGATTGTGGTTTTCTTGAGAAACGATTTAAAGTAAATAACAGTTACAGCAAATTATTAAATGGAAACACTTTATACTGATTGAAAAGTTTATCTTTTGTGTTACAAAATTTGTTGCAACTGAAATTGTAATCAAGTTTAGAGCTCGGAAATTGCACAACGAGTGCAGATAGTTTATAATTACGGTTGAGGATGTGCGCGATACCGATCTTAGCCTTCGGCAGCCGTAATTAATCGTGTCATCATGGATGGACTCTCTTCATATGCGTTTTGTTTTTGTTCAGATGAGGGAGTCACAAAGACTTTTACTTGCGCCCGTTCTTTGGTCGGACAATACGTCTTTCTGCAGCTGGTAGGAGTCGAAGGATCATTGTCTCTCTGCGAAGTGGAAGTCTTCACAACTGATGGTGCGTGCAGCTTTTTAACTCGAAGAAGAATGATAGTTTAAATGTTTCTTTTTTTGTTGCTGTTGTTTGCAGAATTCTCAATTGATAGATGCGCTCCGAAAGCTGCGGCTGCTGATGCAGAGTTGGCAGCATTCGCGAGGACATGCTACGAGTTTCGCGTGAATCGTGGAGGATCCTTCGCCGAGGCTCGAAATTACTGCAAAGGATTCAACGGGGATCTGGCGCACGGCATGAATCCCGGCCAAACATCCTTCCTCTATTCCGAGCTGGAGCGAAGGAAACCTCAGCTGAAGACGCAGCTGGTGTGGATCGGCGCCCAGAAGGAACCAGGTCTGACCTCGAGGACGTGGAAATGGGTGAACGGTAAGAGAACATCCGACGACGAATGCGAAACTATTTCAGTCTTGTGCTATGAAATCCACTTTCCGTAATGCGATGCATGCATGTAGGTGGCCATGAAATAATACTATCCGAGCGGATTCAATTGCATTGCATCTTTGCAGCAACTACAACTACAACATCAACAACAATGCCGCATAAATTGCAAGAAATTGTTTCTAGATTAGACGATTTCGACCCACTTTCTATTCTTCGAGTCTCTGCTGCTATTTTTACACCACAAAATCGATTCTGAATCATCAGCAATACGCATTTTTAAGGAAAACACTAATATTTTGAAAGTTTCAATTCCCCAACATAGAGCTGTTGTTTATAGTTATTTTATTCATAATGTATTTGGAGTCGATTTGCATATTCAAATGCATTCTTTTTAATTGAGTTACAAGTGTGACATTTCTTGTTTAAATTTATTTGAATCTGTGTCAGAATCCTTTTTATAACATACTAGTAAAGTTGTAGATTTTGAATCCCTGCAATTGTTGTTATATTCTTTTGGTAATTGTATAGGTGACATGGTGGTTCGTCCATCCTGGGGCAAGGATCAACCCAACAACTATAACGGGGAGCAGAACTGTGCAGTCCTGGACGGAGGACGAGGTTGGCTGTGGAACGACGTGGGCTGTAACCTGGATTATCTACCATGGATCTGCCAACACAGTAAGTGTCCCACTTGATCCCAAAAACTGGTGTTTTCAAGATCAATAGATTTAGAAACAAAGCGGTTGCAGTGGCGGTGCATTCGTATAACCGAGTCGACTTTTCGTTATTTATTCCAAAGTTCATTTCGAAAAGTTCAGAACGCCACGCCACACATAGTTTCGCAACGCCTCGGCATTTTGCTCTCACGACTATAAATAAGAATAAGTAAATTTTTATCGGAATTTTTGCGAGCACTTCAGCTCTTTGTGAGAGAGAAAGACTTTGCAAATCATAAATTCAACGAAATCGCGCAGCACCTTAAACTCTTGCAAATTAATACGTTTTATTTACAAATCGGTTAAAACTTTCAAGGTATCTTCGTTCATTCGTCCGGCATTTGGCGTCCAAAGTGAAAGGTGAAGAAATACGCGTGGTTTGTTTTTCGTACGAACCTAATTAATATTTAAAATATAAATTAACAGGATGAAGGTCATTAAAGTCGATTGACCCTAAACAATCTTTATTAAGAGAAAACATGAAAAAAAAAATAAATTATAATTATTCTTTTATTTATATATAAAATTGATTTATTAATAAACTTTCGCATGAACAAAGTGAAAGGTTCCAAACAGAAAACAATTTTTCTTCAACAAATTACTTTTCATTTATTTTACATCGGCAATTCCCATTATTAATACTTCTTGTACGCACATACAAACATCTAAAGTGAAAGTTACTAAATATTTTTTTATTTTTGCTAATTCAATAATTTCAAAATGAAAAGGTCAAATGCTAAGCGTTGCGAAATGATAAAAACCAAAGAAAAAAATATAATTATTCCAGAAGTAACAACTTCTGTTTTTTTCGATTCGAGGAAAAGCGACTTTGCTTTACAATTACTTTAATGACTATATTTGCTTTTTTTGTGCGAGCATGAAATTACGGTGCTCGCAATCGGCGCGTGACCACTTCCGGAACCGGAAAACAGTCGTCACTCAGATGTTCATTCCTTCGCGTTTCATTCGCTAAAGAAGTCTTCTCTCTTCTTCCAGAAGAAATTTAAAGTTTGCTTGATTTCACGACGATTTGTTCATTGAACTTTCCATATTTGTGTTCGAATAACTGTAGAAATAACAAGAAGAAAAAAACAGAACATGTAATTAAGAGATTTCCTTTTTAATAATTATCGGTATTGACTTTGAAAATATTTTATTTTCATTACGTTCATGACATAAATACCTCTATTTATGTACACTTCTTATTATTAGTTGCAAAAATCCTTTCAATTCGTTACGTGTAAGTTTTATAGTTCTAGCTTTATTTTAGCTCGCAGCTAAATTTGCATTTATTTAAGTATGCGCGTAACTTGTTCTTTTTATTTTGTGCTCTTTACAGGTGCTTGTTTATTGTAGATTTCAATAAGTTACCTTCACTTTTAATCATATTTTTTTCTACTTCTTTCAATCTCAACACGAATGACATTGGCTGCACCATATCTGCAACTCTTTTTCTCTCGCATAATCAGCGTGTCGAAAGGACAGTTAGATCAATTAACTGCAGTTTGCACGTAATGATATCAAGGCGGATTTTAGCTTTTTATACATATAACTATTAATATATGTATGTAGGAAATGACAACCGTAATTACACTTTATAATGTTATAGAAATTTCGATTATTTGTTGTTCGATTATTACCTGGTTATATGCAGTTATTATTTAGTGTTTGTTGAGTTTTATTTCGTTGCTGCAATTCCCTGTGGATGAATGGAAAATCTGTGTCGTTCACCTTCCATTTGCAGCGGTTCTATTGATTATTACAAAAGTGAAATTTCGCTCCTTTTGTGTTTGTGGATCACAAGAAATAATACGTGTGTGTTGTATATTTTGTATATCTCCCATGATCTCTTCTCAGAGCGAACGTCGTGACTGGGAGCAAACAGGCATTGTTACAGTTTCTCTTGCCGCTCCAAATTCGAAGCGTTTGTAATCCTGCAAACACATTTAATGAGAAATGCAAACACGAAACTGGATAAATGGCAATTAATTTAACGGTTTTCTCGATAGCAGTAATTATTCTCGTCGTAACGATTATTTAAACCCGTTGCGAATTGTTTGCATGTTTTGATTGATGCACTTTCACTCTCATCATCTGACGTCTTTGCTTTTTTTCTTCAGATCCATCCTCGTGCGGAAGTCCGGACAAACAGTTAAACTCGACGATTTCCGGCTCCAATTATAGTATAGGTGGATTGATTCAGTACAGATGTCCGGACGGTCATATGCTCGTTGGCAATGCGAGCAGATCCTGTGGGAAGGAAGGATTCTGGTCCGGATCGGCGCCCACGTGCAAATGTAAGTCAACTTTTCAACGCTCGTGAATACTAATTAATCCTATTTTGCATATATCTTGTACAGTTATTTTGTTCCAAAGATTTACAGCTTTTGAATCGATTATTAATCAATACTCGTTAAATCATTACACATTCAGCTATTTAATAGCTTAATCCATGCTATAAATAATTATTATACATTATTTGACACACATTCATTAGATTAATTAATGCAAAACTAGATATTGCTTTGTCATTTAATCACCATTATTTATTATCAAATCATGTGCATAATAGGAACCGCAGCTATTGGTATTTACGCTCATTTTATTCACGAAACTTTCAAGTTTAATTTGAGTATTCATATATCCAAAACCGTTTGGTCTTCATCGAGTTACATCAAAAACATTGAAGACATACTTTTTTTTTCTAAATGTCAAATTTAATGGAATTTATATGCAATTACTTATATTTTTATATGTTTAATTACTACAAAATGACTAGTTTTCTTAATAATTGCATTTTATGTTTTTAAAGATATTGACTGTGGAGGATTGCCGGACTTGGAGCACGGTTCCGTAACGCTCGTCGGTGGTAGAAGCACCTTTGGAGCGGTTGCAAAATACGCCTGTCACGAGAACTACACACTAACAGGAATTGAACAGAGGAAATGCGAAGAGCACGGAATTTGGAGCGAAAAAACTCCTCAGTGTCTCTTCGACTGGTGTCCGGATCCACCAGAAATTAACGGAGGAATAGTGAAAGTGACGGGTCACAGAAACGGAGATACGGCCACTTATGTTTGTCAATCCGGCTACATTCTCTTCGGCCAGGCGATAATATCCTGCCAGAAGGGAGGCGAATGGTCGGGAAAAGCTCCATCCTGCAAGTACGTGGACTGCGGTTCGCCACCTTACATTGGTAACGGAAGATATGAACTACTGAATTCGACGACCACCGTGGACAGCATCGTCGAGTACAGCTGCGGTGATGACTACTGGTTGGACGGAGATAAAGTTCAGAGATGCGGTAAAGAAGGAAAATGGTCTTCGGATGCTCCATCCTGCGAACGTAATTAATGAAAAAAAAAAAACGATTAATTAATGTTATGTAATAACGAATGTATGTTTATTTTGCAGTGATTGATTGCGAAGAACCAGACGTGCCATCCGGATCGTACGTTATTGGTTACGACTTCAACGTGCATTCGACCATTACGTATAATTGCGAAGTGGGTCATATACTTAGAGGAGAGCAGAACAGGACTTGCATGCGGGATGGCGTGTGGTCAGGTAGCACACCCACGTGTGAATGTGAGTAGAACGACTCCTCCGCCTTCTTCGTTTGGTATCTCTAATGGTTTGGTGGTGGTTTTTCCTTTTGCAGACATTGACTGCGGTAAAGTGCCATCGCTCCTTTACGGCAACACCGATTACATCAACGAGACCACTTATCTGGACAGCCAGATCAGCTATAGCTGCACGAGAAACTACAGGCTAACAGGAGTTCCTAGAAGAATCTGCTTGGAAAATAGACAGTGGAGCGACAACTCGCCGAAATGCGAAGGTAAACATTGAAGAGTTGAAGAACTTCGAGCTTCTGGTATTTGCATACATTTTATTCCAGACACATTCAAGTTCAATTTAAATCAATACACATTGCGTATAATAGACGAAAACTAATGTTTTTTTTTTGTAAAGAAATAAGATGTCCGGATCCAGTGCTTCCGGAACACGGAATACTGTCGGTAACCGGAAACGATCGAATGTATGGAAGGACGATTATCCGAACGGCGGAATCAGGATCCGGGTCGTCGACCTACAAGATCGGAGCTCTTGTGAAGTACCGCTGTGAAAGAGGACACAAGGTGGTCGGAGAGCCGCTCAGCACTTGTGAGGACACCGGCCAATGGAGTGGAAGCGTACCACAATGCATATGTAAGTAAACTACATTTTCGTCGCAGCATAGATGTTAATTGAATTATTTGTATTGCAGTTGTTGATTGCGGAGATCCAGCGAAATTCCAGAACGGCGTCCTTAACTTGGCCTCGAATGCCACCTACTACGGAGCCGGAGTTCTCTACACCTGCGACGCCAACTTCGAGCTGGATGGCGTGAAGAGACGATCGTGTTTGGAGAATGGAACTTGGAGTTCTGATGCTCCGAGCTGCAAGGAAATCCAGTGCAAAGATCCGGACACCTTCGAGGGTGTTTCCTTCCAAGTTAGCACGCATAGCGTTGGAGGTATCGCCAAGTACGGATGCCCGAAAGGACACGAAATGCAGGGCAACAGTACCAGGGTGTGCCTGGAGAAAGGTTCCTGGAGCGGAAGAGCTCCCTCCTGCAAAGCCGTGGATTGCAAACGGCCGCCGCAAATCCAAAACGGAAGGGTCATCGTTGCGAACGGCACTGTGTACACTTCTTCCGTTGAGTACCATTGCATACCTGAGTTCAAGAGGATCGGGGCTTACATCAGGAAGTGCATGGAGAATGGACATTGGTCTGGGGAAGAACCCACTTGTGAGGTTTCCATAGGGGAGACCGAAGATCCGTCCAGCTTAGGAACAAATATCGGCATCGGATCCGGAATTGTCATTGTCATCCTCATCATTTTAGGCTTAATCTATTTAAAATTGTAAGTGATCTAGCAGCACGGAAGAAATGATGTTTGATAATCTTTTTTTTAGACGAAGAGCAACGCCTGTTAAGAATACGGAAAACGTGGAGGCAGCTGAAAGGAAGGAGGACAGAAATGCGGCAGTGATGAGTTACTCTACGTTGAGTGACAGGAACGGATACGGAGGATCGCATTTAGGTCCAAACATCTATGAGAACATCCACGACGAGAACATGTACGACGCGCCATACGAAGAGACGAGCAGAGATAGTGGAACGTACGAACCTGAGCCGGTCGGAAGGAACGGTAACGTGGTGACGATAAACGGGGTCTCAGTGCGATGAAAAAAACCAAAATTATTTTGTTTCTTTTATTTGTTGTTTTTTTTTGTAAATTATTATTCTTTTGTTTTCCGTTTTGTTCCTCCACTAATAACGATTATTATTATCATTGCGCTGCAAGAGAACAAGGAAAACAAACTATTATTATTATTATTACTTCCCCTCTCCATTTGTGATGATGATGTTGATTAGATAGAGTCGATAAAACAATCTGTAAATATTAATTTAATTTTTATTGTGTAAAATATTAGATTAAACGAATATAAATATATATTATTATTATTTTTTATTTACAATATTTATTTAAAGACAAATCCTGCTCAAAAGTTGCTTATATTAAGTGAGTAATGTGAGGAAGCTTAGGAAGAGTAAAACCAAACACTTGCAAAAGATATTTTTTATTTGATATTAAAAATCAAATACAAATAATTTGATAATTACTAAATATTTTTAATATTAATATTTAAAAAAAAAATCGATAGATTTAGTAAGGTAAATAATAATACTAAAAAAAGGAACAAGTTTAGATTTGAAAAAAAAAAGACAAATCCTGCACAAAAGTTGCTTATATTTAGTGAGTAATGTGAGGAAGCTTAGGAAGAGTAAAACCAAACACTTGCAAAGGATATTTTTTATTTGATATTAAAAATCAAATACAAATAATTTGATAATTACTAAATATTTTTAATATTAATATTTAAAAAAAAATTCGATAGATTTAGTAAGGTAAATAATAATACTAAAAAAAGGAACAAGTTTAGATTTGAAAAAAAAAAAGACAAATCCTGCACAAAAGTTGCTTATATTTAGTGAGTAATGTGAGGAAGCTTAGGAAGAGTAAAACCAAACACTTGCAAAAGATATTTTTTATTTGATATTAAAAATCAAATACAAATAATTTGATAATTACTAAATATTTTTAATATTAATATTTAAAAAAGAAATTCGATAGATTTAGTAAGGTAAATAATAATACTAAAAAAAGGAACAAGTTTAGATTGGAAAAAAAAAAGGTGCGTGCTCAAGAGGTTTCCATTTTGATGAGAGCCGAAATCCCGTCGCTCATCTCTTTGAGCGCTTGGAACTCGGTCAGACCCAATCTCCTCTTATTGGATATATCGTAGACGTTGTCTTTGGCCGCGGAATGCTCGCCAGATGTTCCTCTGACCTGCAGATTATACTTGGCCGCAGCCTTATCCAGTTTCTCCTTGTCCGCAGAGAGCTTAGGCAATTTGATGTGGACGGAGGCGCGAATCGTGGTTCCCAAATTCGTCGGGCAAAAAGTCAAATATCCCAGACGATCGGATCTCGCAAAGACCAGCAGCTTGTCCAATTCCGCTACGACGTCCATCAGTCTTTTGTAGACCTCGCGAAGATCGCCTCCCGCCTGCATCGAGATCAATCTGACGTGATCCTCCTCGTTGATCCAGGCCAGGAAGGTCTTCTTCGGGTTGTAGAAGATTCCGCGACCGTCGGGCCAGAATCTGCAGGCTTGCGCGGATTGCAGGAATCTGTCGCCCTCTTTGAAAAGGAAATGATCGTCGATCAGCTTCTGCTGCTCGACAGGGGTCATCAGCTTCAGAGGGTAGTAAGTGCCCTTTGCTTCACCTTGCATGCTCTTCAGAGCTGTCGAAATCTTCTGTTCAATCTCCAAGTATTGCGCCTCGGTCAACAGCGGATTGAATGGGTACGTATCCAAAGATCGTCCGCAACGCACCCTCGTGCTGACAACGTATTTGCCCTCCGGATCCAAGTTCTTCAGATCGTTGGGATTACCCCAATTGGACTTTGGATGTTTCGCAGATCTTTTAAACCCATGATAATCCTCGATGAGCGGATCGAAGAGCTCGTTGAAGACGGCGTACGCGTCTGGATCCGAAGCGTACAGACCGATCCCGGAATCCGGATTTTCGCAACCTAAATTAATTGCATCAAATGTTCGAATGTATCCAAAATTAAGTGTCTCAATTCTTACCAGACTGGATACAGTCCAAGAGATTCGCGCCGAGCGGCGTCTGTATCTCTTTCAGAGTATCGAAGACGAATCTGTTCAGGTACTTCTTGAGCAACGATTGCGAGGTCGAAGTGTTCAACTGGTCGAATGCCTCCTCCATCTTCATCAGGGTCTCCTGAGTGACGTGACCCTTGCCGCATTTCTTGCGGCAATCGTCGCAAGCCTTTGACGATGCCATGATGTGATCGCACGGGATTTGCTCCTTACTCTGATGAAATAAAAAGAAAAAGTACGGAAAATTTGAATGCAATGCGACGTGACAGGAGATTTGGTAAATGCCAAAAAAAAAATATATATATTAAAAGTTGTAATATCCGAGATGGTCTTGGAATGAAATAATAAAAGCCAAACTCACCTTGGACATGGTGAGGGTGCTGAAGCCCTCGGTGGGCATTTCCAAATCCTGCACCGCATTGTTCTTCTCTTTGATCTCGTGGCTCATGATGATCAGCAGCCTCGTCGACTTCCTCTTGCTGAATGCCCAATTCCTCGCACAAATGCGCAAACAATTCATATCTTAACGCGCGCGGCACGTTGTTTATTTTCCTATTAAATTTCTTTTAATCCTTTTTTTTCTTTTCTTCGGCTATTCGCGAAAAAAAATCCACGTTCTCTTTCTCTCTCTCTTTCTCCCCGCGATTCTGTGCTCTTGCCTTTTTTTTCTGCTAGCTTGCACTGACAAATGCCCATGTCAAACGATCTTTATGATTGTTTAATAATATATGTCTATCAAATTTCCACCGTCTTATCTTGAATTGTTCGCGACTTTCTTTATGCTCGTATCGCAACGCAATGCGATACCATTGCACAACATAAGGACGTAAACAATACACTAATCTTAATTGCTGGAAGCAATAATAAATGAGAATTGAATTTCATTCGTTCAGCATGTTTCATATCTGAACGCAATTTAAATCTTTTACTAAAACACACATTTAAGACATTTAAAACTTTTGATATTTTTTTTATTAATTTAACATCTAAAAACACATTTGTTAAAATTTAACAATGAATATAAAATAGTAAACTTGATAAGTAATATTTCGTAATAACATATATATTCGAAGTATTTAATCTTTCTGTACTGAATTCATTATTTTATTTCTACAACATTTATGTTACAATTTATTTGAAACGAAAAACTTGTTATATTTATAAGGATACTTTATTATTCAAAATGCTGAGTATATAAGTATGAGTCAACATAATACAGTTGTTATCTTAAAAATTATGATTTGGATTGAAAGTGGAAATCTGCAATTAAAGGTTTCTGAGAAAGCCGATGCAGTAGTGCAGCTTTCGGTCCAGACGGTTATCGAAATGGCAGTCGCAGGATGAGCAACTGTACCGGAATTTGCTCATGTGCTTGAAATACTGGGTCTCATCGTCGAAGGGCGCAACGCACGCGTAGCAAGTGTAGTTTGCAGCGGCAATCCTCCTCCTCTCTGTCACCTTCTTCTCGGTAACCACCTTCTTCACGACTTTGGTCGTCCTCTCCGGGATGCCTTTAGTATGCTTCTCTTTGCAGTACTTCAGATGCATATACAGCGAATCGTTGTTGGCGAACATCTTTTTGCAGTTATCGCAGACAACTGTCGGATGTGCAAAACAAACAACATTAATCATTTAACATTAATCGATCTTCGGATCATGGAAAACGAACTTACTTGAATCCGAGACGTTCTTCGTTTTGGAAAGACTCTTCCAGGACTTGGCCGCGTCCAGATTGAACATTGCCTTAGCTAAATCGGCCTTCGTACTTCTACACCGCTTACCCTGATCCTCCATATCAAATGCAAACCACTGCGTGTACGTTATGATTACTTCACAATCGAAGTTTGTTTATTTAAAACTTTAAAAAATAAAAACAAGCAGTGTGTTATAACATTTCCTCCAGGTGGCGCATTAGGCTTATGATACAACGATCAACTCTATACTATAGAAAACGAAAACGTTTATTAAAATTTCTTTATTTAAAATTCACATCTGCAATCATACGTTATGTTAAAATCGAGCAATAAAACACATACAATATTGAGCATCACTTGCTACCCGATTTATTCATCTTCTTCTTTTAATTGATTTCCTTCGATGTGTGTCGGATTAGGATCAGAGTTACCATTCGGCTCCTCAGATCCTTCAGGCATCAATTCTTCCTGGGTGAGTGCTCTTTCCGGAAGCCGCGATGCCATGCGGCTTCTCAGATCCTTCAGGAACTTCAGACAGTAGTGGGTCTTCAAGAGTTGTTTGTTCTCGAAATGCGTCTGGCACGTGTTGCACTCGTATCTGAATTTACTCATGTGTCCGAAGTAATGCTTCTCATTGTAGAAGATGAATTCGCAGAATTGACAGGTGTACTTGTACCTTACAACGTAAGTTTCGACAGTCTGTTCCTGCAAAACGTAAATGTAAATAATAAGTTTGTAAAGTCTGCTCAATCTATTTACCTCATCGAGAATCTTGGATAAATCGTTTTTAACGGCCTTAAGCTTTTCGGTATAGGCCTCCATTGCTCCCTTGCAGAACGGCTGATGCATGGTGACTTGGTCCGCGTTTTTGAAGGGCCTGCTGCAATTTATGCAGGCAACTTTCAGGTTCACCAGAAAAAAAAGAAATGTTAAAAACAATTAAAGGAATAAACTAGACCTGAATCGGACATACCTATTGTTACCTTTACGCTGTAAGGTTTTGGAGCTTTCATATCAACACCGAACATGAGCTTGTCCAGCTTGATCGGTTTTTTCGAATCATTTTCGCCACCCATGATATTTCTGATTCGAAGTCCTCTTCGTACTTGTCAATTTCAAAAAAAAAATCGTTGAATCTTAAACACAACTGAAACAAACATTAATAAGAATGAATTTGTAAAAGCATTATAGCATCTGCTATGATACTCACATAGGACAATCACATTATCAACACAAAATACGATACTAAAGATTAATTAGTAAGATGCATCACTCTTGGAAGTCTTCACGTCCGCTCTGCTTCGAGCCTCGAGTCGAAAGAAAGATATTTTAAAAGGTATAGATAAAAATCTTTTTATTTTTTTTGTTTTCAATAATATTCTCGCGATAACAGAAGTAACAAAATAGTTATTTTTCAAATAAAATATGTTAAAATATTTTTTGACCCAAAGAATAGTTGGAATAAAATATGTGGATGCGCGGGGTAAAGGAGTTACTGAAGTATCAATATAAATAAATACATGTATAAAGAATTATTTGTACTGCAACATCTATTGGCACTCTATATTGTATGTAAACTACACATACAATTAGCTCAATTACACTAATACACATGTTAAAAATATATAGTTTGATCAGAGAACATCGTTTAAAATTAACGTACGAAAATATTAAATGCATTAAAAAGTTGTCGTGGTCAATGATCCTCTAAAATTAAAATCCCAACTTGTCAACTCCCAGAAGGATTTCCTTGGCTTTCTCAATATTACCCGAAGATGAGATGAGCGCCCGCAAATTAGCATCGCGATTCACGAAATCCATCGTGTCTAATATTGCCAATTGGTCGTTGTACACCAGTTCGTACATTTTCATTTCCTCCGCAGTTTCCACCGGAATGAAGATGTCGTACGATTCCTCTGATTCCTCGTTCTCGCAGTACTCGAAGCCGAACAGTAGCGTGTTCAGAACGTACGGATTGTTAATGAATTTCTTGAAGGCAGGATCGTATATGCTCTGTAAGTTGCGTGGCACATCCTTCAGGATCATTTCCCTCACGTACGGATTTCTTTTGAGCAACGCACTGGTGCTCAGGATCTTGCTTATCTTTGATGGATTTTCCGCAATGCATTTCATCACGTACAATCTGCGCGGGCCGTGAATCACGGTGTCCCTGAAAAAATTATTCTGATTGAGTGTATTAAACAGTTCTTTGTTCGGTAACAATTTCCACATTTTCATTAGACGCGCGCTCATGCTTATTGCTATATTCCAAGAAGAAAACTCGTTTTTATTTTCGTTATTTGGAATTGGATATTCCTCGTCCTCGAGACTCTTGTATATGTCTTTAAACAATTCGAAATCGGGATCGACGGTCTTCGTTTTGTGCAGCCTTCGGACGGCCTTCTTGTGTTGCCTGCTATTGGTTTTCTGAATTAAATCGTTGATTTTGGCTTCGTTCATTTTCATGAAACTCTTGTAGACCGGATCATTGGTGATGCGTGTCATTAGTTCGCTAATATTTTTTTTCTGCTCATTGCTTAAACGATTATAACATTCTTCCGCAGCTTTATCGTCGCAAATCTCCTCTTTCTGTTTATAAATTCTTTCAGACCCATCATTCGCAGCATCCCTAATGTTTTTCCCGATTCCGTTCATTTTTTTTGTAATTTCTTCCAACTGAGTTGCGTTGTTGGCTTCTATTTTTTTCTTCATTTCCTCGATGTTTGGTAACTTGAAGTTCATGTAATTGCTCAACGTGAACGCTTCGCGCAGCAAGTCTTGCCTGTTGTAAACGTAATCGTGAAATATTTTATCAGACTTTAACTTCGATGAGTACAAGGGTACGTTTTCAAAGTAATTAATGACGCGCTTCGGATTTCCAAAGAACTCGTCCATCGTCGCAGGCTTTTCCTTCCTAGAAATAAAGTTCTTTTTAATCTCGCTGCCGTTTTTACAATCATTATTCCACAAGGATCGAATCGATGAGGAATCGAGGTCGTCATCGCTGTTGGTTTTACTCTTGTCCTTCTTCAAAACTTCCGCATGTATCACAGCTTTATTCTCGATCGGGTAGTCAGCCAGACACTTTTCGTCCTGCAGCATTGTGCCTTTATGCATCAATGATATCAATTTCACATTCGCCTTGATCTTCAAGCCTAGGTATACTTTTATTTTGCGAATAGTCACATTATCTTCTAGGCTGAGCACAATTACTGTCTTGTAACATTTTACTTTTAATTCTAACTGATTTTTGGGTTTATTAGCGCAGATGTCTTTATCTGTGCTACACAGCATCATCTGAAAATTCAAGCAAATTCTTACTATTTACCTACAAAATTATTATAAAGTTTACCTTAGAGATATTAAACACCCGACGTTGTTGAAATGAGTCTGCAGAATAATTTGGTACTTGAAAATGATTATTACAAAAAAAATATAGATAAAGTTGATACTATAAAAAAAAACATTTACGAATTGTGAATAGCTAGGTTTTACAGTAAATTTTAATAAATTAAATAAAACTGAATATATTATTTCAATTGCGATTAAGGCAAATTGTAAGACAATAGTAAAATATAAATTAATAAACAGGTATTTATTTTTAATTACTGTGCAATAACAATTTATAATTCCTAAAAAAAAAATAACTAACTACTTTCATTAAAATAATTAAATCAAGGCATCTCCGTATTTGTTGGTTCTCTGCGGTGGTTCCTCGTCCCTAACTGGCGGCTGCAACATTTCGTTGCTCGCCCTAGGAGCTTCCGGGGCTCTAAAAAATAATTACGCAATGAAAACAAAGCTATTTAATTGTTCGCCAATAAATAATACCTAGTGTACCCAGATACTCTTCTCTGTTGATAATCGTCCCGATTTCGTTTCCGCAACTCATCGTAACTCGTAACATTCTTCTGCATTGGAGGCATATCCTCCTCCGAAACTGGATTATCAACAGACGGCCTGTGATTATCGTCCAACCCATTGTATTCTGGCCTCGATGTGTCCATATCGAGCGAGTTTCTCGGATCAAGATCAGTGTATTTATCCGCTGATCCCATATCGGAGAACGGTGCAAGCGTCATGCCCGGCCCGAAACCTGGCTCTAAAGTTTCCTTAATAAAACCTTTCCTACGTTGCCTCAACATTTCACCAATGGGACTGTTGGGCAGCTGCATAAGTTTTTCAGCGCATTTCTGCTGATAAGAGAACTTTCCCATGAAATAGCCCACAACCACGGCTATTGTTACTTTGGGAGCTGCCCCGAACCTGGGGCTTGGCCGAAAGTAACCTTGCTTGATGGCCATGTAAGAGCTGACTCCAAAGATGGTTCCGAGAGGGAGGCAACGTTGCAGGAAGCTTTCCCTGTTGCACTCCCTAACAACCCTCATCTCCTCCGCATTGAACTGATACTAAAAGCATTAGTAGTTTTTTAAAGACATTTATATTTCTACTGCTACTTTGTTTCAGTTATTTACAGCTTGCCTTTGCGATTTTGGATTGGGGAAGGCCTGTTGCGGATTTTCATCGTTTGTTCGGTCCATTTTTAACTTCAATAATTTAGGTTATGATCAAGTTTGACGGTTACGTATGCAACCAAAGTTGTACGATAGTTCAAAACTTGTGTTGCGCTTCAACGAAATATCGACGAATGCAAATGAATAAGACTATTAATTGGATTTAAGTATTAATAAATTATTCGATTAGGTCAGGGTTTTCGTGTTTATTTTCGCTTTAACAGGAATAGGTGGCGGTTTCGTCGTGCATTGATTTATATGCAATTTGTGCGGCAGGTTGAGGGCAATCCATTTTATGTGTGTGTGTCTGTTGCAAGGAGCTGTCAGTTGGAAGTTTCAGACATGTCTCTGAAGGAGGAAAACGCAATTTTGTAGTCTGATATCATCATTACGAGCAGTTTCTTCCATAACTTTACGCAGAAGTCGGAGCGAAAGCGCGCGACAATGACCAGCTGCTAGCGGAGCACTCGAGCGCGCTTTAGTGAAGGTGATTTGGTTGTTTTTTTTTTCTCCCTATTGTATTTTGCTCTGGTAGTAGCAAGGAAGCAAGTGAATGAGTGAGTGAGTGTGTGTGTATTTTTGCAAGGTTTTGGATACAGAGTATGACCCTAGCTGTCACCCAAAATGATTCATCTGCAAGGTTAATTTGAATGCCGAAGATTGAATTCTCAACACACTGGGATGTCTCATGGATATATCTAATCAGTTTGTGTGTGGCTGTGTGATAATTCTTACAAATAATGCATAATAATAAGCATTTCCTCTTTAGATTGTCCCAATCATTGCATTCTTCACAACAACATTCTGTTTAAAGTTTGTTTTTAGAAACGATGGGCTCTGTGTGGAAGAGGCTGCAGCGGGTCAATAAGCGCGCCGCCAAGTTCCAATTCACTGTCTCCTACCATCAGCTTGCTGTGGAATTCACACCTAAATGGTAGGTCTCAAATTCTTTAATAAACTCGACCTTGGTCTATTTGTTTTACTTAATCTGTATTATTTGTTTTACACACACACATATATATATGAATTGTTTTTGTAGGGAGCCGCACAAATTATCTGTGGTATGGACCAGACGCTCCAGGAGGGTGGTGTCCACCCCAATGCAATGGGAACCCACCCTTCAGAATACATACAAAGGGCTGGTGGTATGGCCCGTTCCAGAGAACCATCAAGTTGCCATAACACTGTTCAAGGGAAGATGCAATGAGCTCGAAGATAAGGATTGGAGTTTTGTTATTGAGGATGTGAGTTTTTGATGTTGTGTTTGCTTTCTACAATTGATTAGTTATATCTACGTTAATTCTTATTGGCGTGCACTTTCCTATCAGCGTTTGCACTTTAAATAATCTGACCTTGAACTTCTCGAAATTGACCCAATGGTTTTGCGACATTGCACAAAGCAATTGCGTATAAGAACGCACATCGTCATTATGAATTGATCAAGTTCTGATTGGAATTTAAAAAAAAAATTGCCGAATGTATTGGTCGCCATTGGCATTGCTTTAAATTACTTTCACTTTTCCACAATATATTTTAATGGAGCATAATAAGAATATCTTGAATTGACCTAATGATTTTGCGACTTTACACAATGTAATTCCGATTATGAACGCAATTTCTTAGCATTATGTATGTAATAGAATAATATAATATTGTATTGTTAAATATTTAAAATTGTTGTGTTGATGTATCTAAATTGGATTGCGCAAATTTTGGAGTGGTGATGATGTCATGTTTATGTTCATTCATTCATTGTATTTTCATTCTGTGCATTAGATTTCATGCACATGAAGATGATGTGTGTCTTGCATTAGGAATTTGCAAATAAAACTTTCGTTTTCATAGTATTTGCTAATTGGCAATTAAGAATTTGATACATTTCGCGTCATTTTTTCTAATTGCAATTTCTCTTTAAAACCATTTATATGTATGCCTAGCTGTAATTGCGAATATCGCTCGTAATTGGAAATACATGCTACTTAAATATATCGGGTTTGTGAGACCTTGAGCATAGATATGCGGCCAACTGGTGTAATTATTATTTATGCTCGTTTTATTTCCTTTATTTCGTTATGGTAATTGCGAGATAGATGTTAGATTTGTTGACAAGAAAAAAAGAAAATGCCAGTGATGATCGAAGATGCTGCACATGCGATGCTGATCAAAGGCTGACCGTGATGTTGACCCTAAACTAATATAATTATTTTATTCTTACTCAAAAAAGTTTAAGTCTGAGGCATTTGAAACGGTACTCGCGCACACTTCCGGTGGTCGCGTAGCGCCGCACGTACGGAATTTTTAATGAATGTGGAAATGCGTTTTTGTTTTTGATTTTTGTGGAAATGCGTTTCAGGTTTCGCCTGCTGGAAAACGGCGACAGCTTGCGGTCACCCAGATTAACATGGGGAAATTCGCGAGCATCGATTCTACGCAGTATCCGCTGCAGCTGAATTTGAAACCGACGACGAAGAAAATTACGAGTGCCAAATTGGAGTGCACGTTGTCGTGCGTATTTCTGCGCGAAGGAAAGGCGACGTGAGTGCTACATTTGTTTCACTCCTCTACTGTTATGATTATTGTTTTGTATTTTATTAACAGCGATGAAGACATGCAGTCCATGGCCTCGCTGATGTCGGTGAACAATAACAGCGATATTGCGCCGATGGAGGATTTCGAGGATGAAGATTTTTCGTTGAGCGATAATTCGATGAAGAACAGCATCCACGAGGTGACGCAACAGATGCAGCTGATGACGAACAGCTTGTCCGGTTCGGATTTTGCTAGCACTCCAATAAGCGGTATTCCCTCCTACTCAATCAACCTATTTTTGGGAAGTGTTAATAATTGCGTTATTTTTAGTGAATAGCATACAGTCGTTATCGCGGCAAGATAAGACGCCCACTGCGGAAACGTTCTCGCCGATAGTGGAGGAGGATAAGCCGCAGCTGAAGTTGAATATTCCGGCGCCGAAAGATGATGACTTCCACGAAACGGAGACTGATCCATACTCGGAGCTGTTCGAGAAGCAACTCGATAATCTGGAGGAAGAGGTGACTTCTTCATCAGCGTCGACGGTGCCAGTGGTAGCAGCGACGTCGGAGGAGATTAGAAATGTAGCGCCGGTGGTGAGGCCGAAGAGCGTTAGCTTGAAGTTGCAGCCTTTGGAGCTGAAGGATCACAGCGAGAAGCTGACGACGCCCGGACAAGATCTGCTCGAGTGGTGCAAGGACATGACAAAGAACTATCCTGGCGTGAAGGTGACGAATCTGACGACAAGCTGGAGGAACGGTATGGCCTTCTGCGCTCTCATCCATCACTTCAAACCTGATTTAATCGATATCGATTCGTTGAACGCGCACGACGTTCGTGGTAACTGCAAGAAAGCATTCGACGCCGGAGACGTGCTCGGAATCGCTCGAGTTATAGAACCTTCGGATATGGATATGCTCGCCGTTCCCGATAAGCTTGCCGTTATGACCTACCTGTATCAGTTGAGAGCTCACTTTACCGGTCACGAGCTCGAGGTGCAGCAGATCGGAAAGACTGCGGACGAGAGTAACTACGTGATCGGTCGCTTCAACACGGATAAAGATACGGACGTAACCATGCAGCTCTTCGGGCAAGAAATCATCAACTTGCGGAAAGCAAAGCAGATGAACAAATCGCTGGATTCGGAGAGCGAGCAAGTATCGAGCGCCGTCGACCAGAAGGCTAATCTATGGTTGCAATTGAAAGTTCACACACCCAGTGAGCCTCCCGAAACCAAAGACAAGAAGGTCGTTGCAGTCGCGTCCCCTATCAAGAATCCGCAAAAGCCATTGCTGATGACGCGTCGTGAGTTGACCGATCCTTTTGGCTCAGACGACGAGGAGGAAGAGTTGGAGGCTGAGACGACTGCGGATGTTGGTCGACCAACCTCTCCTTCCGCCACTCATCCGCCATTGAACGGAGATGCGGTCTTAGTTGAGGATGTTGCCCCCAAGAACGCCTCCGATTCCGCAGCCGAACTGCCAAAGCCGAATTTAGTAAGTAGCGTAAGTTGCTTTTGTTTTGTTTTTTATGTTTTGCGATTGCTTTGAGTTTTGAGGTTTTTTTTTTTTTGTTATTATTACCCATTCGTTTGTTTTACTTTGAACTTTGATGATTTTTGTGTGCTCAGCAATTACTAACTCGCCACACGGAGCAAAGGGAGAGAGCCAGACAACTCTTAGAGCAAGTCAAAAGGGATAACTCTGTTTCGCCTACAAGGGTAAACCATTTTTATTTTAAATTATTCTCTTGTACTCTCCATTTCTTTCTTCACCCACACAGTATACTGCCTATCTTTACAAACCCAACTTTTGTTACTTTCCACCATTAACTTGATCATATTTTACAAGAGAGTTAGAAGCCATGAACCAACCGTGGACACGCAGATAAGAATAAAAATATTTAAAAAAAAAATGAAAGTAGAAAATTAATATAGCGGACATTTTTGTAAATTTATACTTTATAATTTATTCTTACAAAAAACACATTATTTCTTATTTCAATTTAAGCGAATTAATGCTATGTTATTATTTCTGGCGTAGTCTGAGGAGGAAAGGCAGGCTGAGCTGCTTGAGCGAGCGAGAAGAATCATCGCGGAGACGAGGAAAACCTCGACGCCCACGACGGAAATTATTAAAGCTAGTCCAGATAATGAGAATCAGGCGAAGAGATTGCCAGAAGCGAGGATCGAAAAGCAAGCAAGCGGTGGTCAGTTTACTCATTTATTAAATTTCGCAATAAAATGTTGATGGATGTTCCTTTTTAGATTCTGAGAGGAATGGGAACATTTCACCAAAATCGCCGTGCAAATTGAGTGCTGAAGAAACTGATAAATCTAGTCCATTAATCAGAGAACAAATAACTCCTGATAAGTTACCAGAAGATTTGGGATTATCTGAGGTGAGATTTTACTTTCTCCGTGTGGTGCAAAAATGATGCAAATTATTTTAATTCGTGGTTTAGATTGGTATTGGTGTACAAAATTGGATCGACAACGAGCTGGAGGCTTTAGAACGTGAGCAGGGCTCCATCGACAAAGAGGCGGCGACTTTGGAGAAGAAGCTGCGCGTTGTGATGGAGTCGTCAGTAAGTAGTGTGGACGAAGAGGAGCAGCTGATGGCGCGATGGTTCACATTGGTGAACAAGAAGAACGCGTTGCTTCGGAAGCAGATGCAGCTGAACATATTGGAGAAGGAGAGCGACCTCGAGCGCAGATACAAGATGCTGAATCACGAGCTGCAGATAAGCATGTCCATTGAGGATTGGCGCAAGACGGAGGATCAGAGGGCGCGCGAGAAGGTGCTCATCGATGAACTAGTCCAAATTGTAAATAAGCGGGATGAATTGGTGCACCACTTGGATAGTCAGGAGAAAGCGTAAGCGATTTATTTTCCACACACCCACAAACATCAAAAACAATTTTCTGACTTGATTCCTTTTCATGTTTCAGCATCGAGGAAGATGATTTGATTGAACAAGATTTATCCCACATGGATCTACCGCCAAGGGACAAGTGCGTGATACAATGAAGAACCAAAACCAGGAAATACCACCTTAACTCTGTATTGATCAAGAAAAAAAAACGTATTCTTACAAGTTGTTAACTCACAGATACACACACACACACCATAACTATTCACTTAAAACAGAAAGTAATTTTAAAAGAAAAGACAGCTTTAAATCAATTTATTATCTCTCTTCGGATTCTTTCGTTACTTTTTTTTTCGTTTTGTTTTTCGTAGTAGATTTATTTATTTTCTAAGATTAATATTTATTTTTAATTTTATTCTTTGATATTTTCGCAATGCGGCGATTCATGCGCATCGATGTTTTGGTTTACATATATATCTTTCTTCGTTTCTTCGACTCGTTTCTTGTAAGTACTCTTTCTAGATAGGAATACGGATATTATCTTATTGTGTAAGGAGCTTCTGTACAATTTCTTCTGTTTCAACTTTTGCCCTCTGCTCCAACTTCCTCCTAAACCTCCCTCCTTTACCTCCTCAACTTTACTCTCAAATGACGATATCTATTTATACATATGTGAGTATAAAAACGTGTATATTTGGTGCAATAATGATTTGCTAAACTATCAGGTTGTAAAATAATTATAATAATACGTTGTGTGCCTATTGCGCAAATGCCATTTCCTCTCCTCCTCATCAATCCTCGTTTGTAATATAACTATAATATGTATATATATATCGATACATATGTAACGAAACAAAAAAAGAAAGAACTACCATGAAATATAATCCACTCCACGGTTTTCCCTGCCTCTCTTTTCCTTCGTTTCTTTTCTATTTATGTAATTTAAAACTCTTATTTTCTTAATGTAAATAGTCACGTAATAGAATCATTGTGCTATTTAACAAATAAAAGAAAAACGAATCGACGTCCATAAATGTAACAAGAATTGAAATTATTTATTATTAAAAAAACATTAAAAATCACGGTAAGTACTTTTACATTAATCATTTACAGTTTCAATAGAAACAACATCAAAAATAAATATTTTTCTATAACTAAACTACAGTCAACCCTCCTATAACGCGGTGAGTGTTGGAAACCGCGCTATAAGAAACTCGGAATTAGTAGAAATCACATCATTCGTACCGCGTTATATGGAGACCAATAAATACAAAAGACAAGATAAATTATAAATTATTTTTATTGAATTGAATTGAAGAGTTCATATAAGGATTGATAAAAAAAATGAAACAAGAACTAAAAGACTGTTTTTCAACAAAAACAATGAAGACTTGTAAAATTTTGTAATCTTTCAACACTCATCCTCGCTGTCAGATATGAGTCGCCTAACTCGTCTTCTTTTAATGGGCAAAATGTCTTCATCACTTAATTAATCTTCACGTTGGTTTTCAATTGTAGCTTTTTTTTCTAACTCCACTAATTCGTTTCCCTTATATTCGTTTACCAATGCATTTGAGGTGGATGCATCAATTAATTCCATCCGTTCTTCCTCATCTAAAGTTTCTTCCCCTACTTCCTTCTTCCTTCTACTAGTTCTTTTACATCCTGATGGTTTACTGCAAATTCTTCATCGCTTAAATGAGAAGCAATGTTTACTATTTCTGTAACTGGAAGTGAAATTGGTCCAAAGGTTGTATTAATGACGTGCAGTTAGGAGGAAGGAAGACAATTTTCACATTTGGATGATCCAGTTCTATGTTGTGGCAACCGGCGTTATCAAGAACCAATAAAATTTTGAAATACCAATTATAAAACCAATCCTTAAATAAATCTCTTACAATATCTAGTTACTAGAGTCATTCATAGGCTGCGCGGAAGGAACTCATGGGATGCTGTTGAACGGAAACCGCACTGTAAGAATACCGCGTTATAGGAGGGCTGTCGCAATTTCAGCTCCGCGTTATATAGAAACCGCGTTCTGAGAGTACCGCGTTATAGGAGGGTTGACTGTACTTACCTTTTTTTTTGTAACAAAAATCTTTCTGAAATGATTAAATAATAAATACACATGATTTTAATTCAATCGTCTTTATTTATTAACATTTATTTAAGTCTATATATAATTTATCTTAAGATTAATGTAATAATAATAATAATAATAATTTACACATGTTAAAATGAATAATCTCTACGGAAAGATGTAACATATATAAATGAAAAACGAATTCAACGAATATAGTTTTTTTTGTTGTCAATTAACGCTACGGCCACATAAATAAATTCTCTTTTTCTTTCAATATATATTAAATTTTCTTGTTATATATATATATATATTTATATTCATATATTTATAATATAATTTCTTTTTTTTTCCTTTACTTTTTCTTTCATTCTTTATATTTTTTGCAATACATATGACACTGATATAATTAACAAATCCGAAACGAACAGAACACTTTTGATTCCTCACATATATCTATTAATTAATTAATTAATTAATTAAGTAACATTTAAAGCGGTGAAACACGTTTCGATTTGATTCCTTCCTTATAATCGTAAAATATTATTGTAACATCACATTTATTATTTTCCATCTTTTTTTATTAATTAATTAATTAAATCTTCAAAATCGATATACAATTATCGTTAGGTTTACTATATATAATATGCGTTCGCTATTTGTTAATTTATTTATAATTTATATGTATATATTATGTTATGGTAATAATTTAGCTACTTTAGAGACGTGATACAGCGTTAAAAAAGAAATAAACGAAACGGAAAATAAAAATCCCTAATCGAGAGGAGTAGAAAATAAATGAAGGGATAAATTTATTTGGGGAAAGGTAAATTAAATGTAAATATAAACATATATATAGACAGAGAGCAGAGTTGCCATCTTCGCGATGCCTTTGAGTTATCTCCATAGCAAGTTGTCATGGAGAATTACTTTGATTACTTGAAATTTAGTAAATGTATTAGGGTTGCTAGGCTAGGCATCAGATGGCAAGACGCTGATATAGAGTTAGTTTCTTAGTGATTAGAGCAAATTAGGGACATACATACGTACATACATACACACACAGTTATATATATATAGAGAGTAATAATTCTTATTTACAGTTTGTCGAAGATGAGTTTCGGTTTATTTATTTGGTTGTAGCTGCTGTTGTTGTTGTTGAATGTATTAATATTTACAATTCGGCATGGTCCAAGCTATTGGGCTGATAATAGACGTCGTTGTAGGAGTGTTTCGGGAAAATGTGGTCGTAGTATTTCTCGTGTTCGAGCTGGAGCGGTTTGGGTCGGGGTTTCGGCAGGGACCGTCTCGGGTCTTTGGATTTCTTTGGGCCGTACTTGTTAAAGCTACGGTACTTTCTTTGGTATTGGGGATCCGTCGTCGCGAAGGATGAGGGGAAGGCCCCGGCCCCGGCCCCTTGGACCACAGACGTCGGGGACGGCGACTCGAAATACTTGGGCTGTTTGTTGGACGCCCTTTCATCATCGGCCAACCCTGTGTAGACGTTCTCAACTCCTTTCCACTCCTCTACACTACTTCTACCATTGAATGTCAGTGTTGTCGGCTATATTTACAGCTCATGTTAGAGAGGTGTGTTAGTTTGTTTATAACGATTATCGTTTATATTTTGATAATCATTGTACAAATCAAATGATAATAGTAATAATAATAATAATAATCAAATGGATGAACAGTTGAAGAAACTAAGCTCTAAGGTCGATCGAAACAAAAAGAAAGAAGAAAAAAAAACAAACTTTACAAAAATTTATACAATCAATTAAACAAATTAAGCTCGTCGCGCGACACATCACCATCACCTACTTATATAACAACTCTCTATAGCAACCAAAATAAACCATCATATGTTTATTATTTCGATTGCCATGGAGATTGGCGCCGGAGGTGTTTGGCGAAGGACGCGACGCGCTTTACAGTCTCTTAATAATCGAATAATTAACATCTTTTTTTTTTATTCTCTCTTTTCAGTTACTATTATTCATATTTATTATACTATTGTTTTAATCGAAAGATCTTCGAAGGTATTCATAATAATATTAATAATAGGTAACTAAAGAATGTGTGCGGCGCCGATCGAGTTCTCCCCGCCGGAAGCACCAGTGCTGCGACGCTTAGAATCAAGTGAGGTGGTTTGAGAATGTGCTCAGAACTGGAGTCTGTGTGTAGAAAATTTTTCGGTGTGAGTTTCGTGTATTTTATGTACAGTGTGAGAGAGAGAGAGAGAGAGAGAGAGCAATCAATGGGTTTTGGGTCGGTTAGGGGGGAGTGCAGAAGTATTGCAGGAGGAGGAATTCGCGTCTGAAAGCGCTGCGAACCGCAATTGCACACATGCCATGATGCTATGGAGAGTGCCGTTTCGGCTCGTCGCCCCCTTTTGTTCCTCATCCTCCTGCTCCTTCAACTCAAACTCAACCTCCTTCCCAACCCGAAAACCGTTTACGTAACAATGTAACGGAATATCTTTGTGCTGATGCAAACTACATCGTGCACATGTATGATAATACGAGCGGGCGCTTCGTACACAAAACCAATTAGTAATTAGATAGGTGATAAAAATTGCGGGGGATCCCCGAACGATCCGGTTACATCTACTTTGTCTTTACATTAACAATCCCGCAATATCCATAAATTTATATTAATCAAGATCTAATGTAAATATAAACCCGGCGCATCCACCGCAGCAATCGATGAAATATTTTGAAAATCTAACACATACTACAAAAATTATTATTGAAAAACATAGTATATATTTATGAATTGGAACAAATGTAAAGTTACATAAATCTTATTTTAAAAAGAATATCTTTATATTAATGCAAGTAGAGTTGCATACGATGATTGATTGAAATGTTATTATTTTTAAAAGAACTTTTAAAATTAGTGAACTTCAGTTATTTAAAATTCATTCCAATCGCGAATTAAACATTCCTTGAAAACATACTAATAATTACGATTTTAGGTAAACCCTTTAAATTCGATGCTTATAAAGTTGCATACTATAATATTTTCAAGATTGAATTTTTTTCAAAAATTTCAAGTTTTGTTTATGAAATATAATATATAATTATTGAAAAATCTTTAGTATTCATTCTGTATATTAAAGTACAATGACACAAACTTTTAAAATTAGTGAACTTTAGTTATTTAAAATTCATTCCAATCGCGAATTAAACATTCCTTGAAAACATACTAATAATTACGATTTTAAGTAAACCCTTTAAATTCGATGCTTATAAAGTTACATACTATAATATTTTCAAGATTGATTTTTTTTCAAAAATTTCAAGTTTTGTTTATGAAATATAATGTATAATTATTGAATAATTTTTAGTATTCATTCTGTATATTAAAGTACAAGGAATATGTTTCACTTTTGTACTTATCGATGAACGGTTTATGCTTTATGCGGTTAATTTCCGGACAATCGGCGTGTTTCGAGCAGAACTTTGAAAATAGTTGCACGTTGCGCATCGTCTCTCCCAGGGATGGATTTTAATCACTGCCGGACCGCAGATTGACCCGGATCAGAGGATCAATTACGGAGCTGCACAATTATGGGCGCACAGAGTAGTCCTCATCCCGATACTCCTGTTCTACTTTTTTTTTATGTTGGTTTCGCTTCCCGTCCCTTTGTGGGCGACACACAACAAGTTAGCTTTCATGTCATTACATTGTTGCGGGATTACTTGCAGCGCTAATTGAAACGGCCAACAATATTACCGTCTGCGGCTTCATTTTAATTGCTTTAATGTAATAATACCCACCTCCGTTTGTCGCTGCTCCATTTCACAGCCAAATCCAGAATTATACGCTTGTCTGTCTGCCTATATCTTTGCGCAGCTCTCGCATATGAATACCACTGGTTAATCCAGGTTTTTTCATCATCAAGAAGCATTTTTTTTGAAATAACTATTTTAGGCCATTTTGACACGTTTTGATACAAATTGGCAAACCATTTCATCGAAAAAGATGATAATTCTGAACGAGCATTCAAGTTTCAACGCGAGCTTCAGAATTGCATTTCTGGATATCAGGAATTGTACAAAAAAAAAATAGCAAAGCCATCGCAAAATTTAATCACTGATTACATTGTCAAAGGGAAAAAATCAACATGCGAAGTTGAGACTAATTTTACTTGTGAAGAATCATTTTCTGATATGCTGACATAGATCTGATATCTCTTCTAGTGATGAAAGTGATTTCGAACCAGTTCGCAAATTATGCCGAACACTCTCATATAACGACGATAATTCTAAAGAAAAAAATGTGAAGAAAGATTAACTTTCATAAACATTTTCTGTATTTTTTTGTAAAATATTTCCTTTTGTCGCTGCTCCATTTCACAGCTAAATCCAGAATTATACGCTTGTCTGTCTGCCTACATCTTTGCGCAGCTCTCGCATATGAATACCACTGGTTAATCCTGGTTTTTTCAACATGCATAGCAGAGATTTAGCATTACATAAGCAATTTTCATAAAAAGTATTATAGTTATTTTCCTTGAATGTTTCATTTGTAAATGAAGTAGATTTGCTATTGAAACGTAGATGATATATATTTTAGAAACTTGAAAGGTGTTATTTTTACACACTATCTATCAGTAATAATTGTTAGAAAGTCTTTCTTCTGAGAGGAACGGAAGTGCGGATCAAAGTGCGCCGGACCGTATTCTGTTTTGCGGTCTTTGCGGGACGCGGATGGATGGGTTGTCATAAAATTTGTCGCGGTGCACGAAAGCCCGGCGCATCCGCAAATTAGCGGAAATGAAATCGAAGCCGCATTCGCATCCACCGAACAAACAACTAATTCATCAAATTATCATTACTGCGAATCGCATTAATTACCGTTCCACCCGAATTCCCCATTTCCAAAACCCCCCCGGAAATTGATATTGACGTTTTGTGTACGAAGCGACGCCCTTCCACCGCACATAACAAAAAGAAAATCAAATGAAAGAGAAAAAGAAAAATAAAAACGATTAGAAAAAAATGTCTTCTAGAGGTTACGAAAATAAGAAACGAAACAAAGCAAGCGGTGTTGTGAGATGGGGTGCAGTGGTGCATCGCAAAGAGGTGTCGATCTTCGCAGCTCCAAGATCTTAGTATTAGTATTCATCCATTTACAGTTATAAGTGTATGTTATTGTTAATATCAATAATAATATATACAGAGTGCTTGTTATATAAATATATATATAAATTATACAGCTATGTGCCGTTCAATTCTGAATTACTGTGAGTTGGTTACCATTCCTCAAACACGCTCGCACACACATACAAAACATAAATCGGGGCGGAGAAGACGAAAAATAGAGTGCGTTACTTTTAAAAGAAGTTCGTTCGCTTAAGATATATTATATATTTATAAATATGTACAGCATGTCCGGGAACATTTTTCGCGTATTTACACACAGAGAAGTGGAGTGGAGAACCGAAAAAAGCGAAGAAACGCGAACGAAAATACAAATACAAAGCGATGCACTCTATTTAATCTTCGGCCCTTCGGGGGTTATTCGCGTGCGCCGAATTCACAAAGTGCAATTGTTTCAAATCCCATTTTTGTACACACACATACTCGCATTTCGATGTTTGTATAAAAAAATACACAGGACTCACATGAAAACATAAACACGGAGAAACGAAAGAAACGAACAAACAATTACATGATTAAAAAACACAACGACAACAACAACAAAAAGAAAAAAAACTAGCAAGTTATGAGTGAAACAAAAGAGAGTAAATAATGCTCAAGGGAAGATGAATGCCAACCACTTCCAAATCGAATTACCCAATTAATATTACTATTATTTTTTTTTTTGTAGTTTTTTTGTTTGTTTTCTTTGATTTTTTTTTTGGTTACTTAGTTTGGAAGTAATTAGCATGGATATTCGCGATAGTTAGCGTTAACGACGGTGGTGCAGTGCTACACTCTAGTGGGGGGTTGCAGCACCATTGCGGCCAGACGTACCTTCATTGCTTCGGGACTTCTGCCGCCCCTCGGGGTGGTCGTGTAGATGGCATCCGCCGGGATTCCCCCAGGACCGGTGGTCGTCTTTTCTATGTCCAACTTTTCGCTGCAAAAATAAACACGCAAACCTAATTATACACAAACCGAAAACTCGATTAGACCGACGTTCGCGTGTCCCAAGTTTCGCCCATGCCTCAAAACTATTATTAACAAAGTCTTAGCATCAAAAAAATTTAATATAACAATCGCAGTTCTCGAAATAGACTTGAAAAACAAAATATAGTTAAAACAATATCGAAAATTATAGTATAAACTAGAGAACGCAAAAATTTATCATTTTTTTAAATTAAATTGATCAATCACAGTTTTTCAGTAATAATTTTTCATAAATAATAAGTTTCGCCCATGCCGCAAAACTATTATTAACAAAGTCTTAGCATCAAAAAAATTTAATATAACAATCGCAGTTCACGAAATAGACTTGAAAAACAAAATATAGTTAAAACAATATCAAAAATTATAGTATAAACTAGAGAACGCAAAAATTTATTATTTTTTTAAATTAAATTGATCAATAACAGTTTTTCAGTAATATCATAAAAAGTGAAGAGACTGCACATCATTAACCCTGCCCATCCACCAAAACCATGAATCACTGTTCAAAACTGTTAATGTTAACTTGAAATTAAGAAGATATTTGAGTTTTGAAATTGTTGACATTAGATAAATGAAAACTAAAATTTATTTTTATTCGCGAAGCGTCGGGAAGTTTATGGTTTTTAATATTTCTTTGTATGACGCGCGGAGCAATTTTGATATGGAACGGCATTAATATAAAAGCGAATGTGTGTGTGTGTACGTTGGAGGGTAAAAAATTGTATGCGTTGTCCTATCCTATCGCAGCCAATATTTCCGTTTTCCACGTATTCCCTGGGTCTAAAAGGACTGACAGACACAAAAAAATAAAGGAGTGAAATGGGGGAATAAAGATAGATAAAGCGAACCAAGCACTTCCTGCTTATGGAATCCGTGTAACAAATTCGCCCCTCTTGTCTTAAGTATTAAAGCGGGCTCTGTTTCGGTGATAAGATTGATAATAACAGACGAGCGGCGGTAGCGGAGTCGCGTAAGCACAAAAAAAAAATCAGAAACGAGAAGGACGCGCACACACACACATCCTGGGGAAGTCCTTTAAAACAGGACGAAAACGTGGCCGGAATTTCCGGCAGTATATATCAGCGAGGGCTGCAGATTAAGCGTCCTTCTCTCCCCATTCGTCGATTTATTCCTCGACAGGAAAAAAAAAGAGACTTTTGATCTCCATGTAAATATATATTTTATTACTCACGAAAACCTTATATATCTAAATAATTTTTTGTGTGTTCAAACTTTGCAGAAGGGATTCCATTTTCGAAATTAATGAATGTTTTAATTGCCCGCCGTCCCCTAACAAGGATTCAGTTTCGACGCTTTATCCTGGGGAATATAGGTTAATGTCGGCGCAGTAAAAGCGGGTGGATATTTCCTTACGGTGGTCGCGGTATTTCCATCGTTTATCGTCTTGTTTATTCCGCGGATTAATTGGCACGTGTAATAGATTCTTTACGTTCGGGGATGGATTTTTTTTACTGCCGCCACCAAAAGAGAACTATGAATACTGGAAACTGACATTTCGTTTGAGTATCTTGAATAAATGTCGGAGGAGGAATATTTACATTGGACTTTGTGTTTTTATTACCGCTTTTCGGGGGACACGTGCAATGGCTTTAGTTCTTTAAGAGATTTAGGAAATGCAAATATTGATTGTAATTGAACTAGAAAAATTGTCGTCTTGAATTTACAACAATCTTAGTTATATATAAATTTAAATACTGTGGAACCTCGCTTAACGACCGATGTTTCGCATAACGAGTGCAAATTGAATGTATCCGAATAAGAAGTCAAAGATTGATATGAAAAGCAAAATCATTCACTATAAGAGTATTTCACTTTACGAGTAAAAATTCTGAAATTCTCGTTAAAATATACACTCTTTTTATGCGGTTTTGAAGTTATGCGGTTTTTATTTCAAGAAGATTTTTTTTAAATAACTATTTTATGCCATTTTGACACGTTTTGACACAAATTGGCAAACAATTTCATCGAAAAAGATGATAATTCTGAACGAGCATTCCAGTTTCAACGCTAGCTTCAGAATTGCATTTCTGGATATCAGGAATTGTACAAAAAAATAGCAAAGCCATCGCAAAGTTTAATCACTGATTATACTGTCAAAGGGAAAAAATCAACATGCGA